TTGCACCTTTTTTCCCCACGTAAAATGGGAATAACAGTCATTACTTTTTTGGGCTGCTAAGAGACTCTTGTCTGTGAATGACTGTGCAAAGCTTGGCATAAAATATGAGTGTGCAGCTACTCTAATGAGCATCTTATATTTTCCCATCTCAATTAACCTTCACAGCCATGCTCCAAGTTAAGTATTATTCTCCTCTTTGTACGTAACCTGAGATCCTCCGTTTAGCAAACAAGTGTCTACAGTTCCATAAACTGGTTGTGCCTCCAGGAACACCTGTAACTTACTGGACGCTCCACCTGCCCAGTGCTATCTTTGGTGCTTCATTAGCTATGCAAAACATTTCCGTGTTAGGTAGCATGTTATTTTTCAAGTTTTATCCATTCATCTGAAAGGCAGAGTAAGAGAGAGAGAGAGAGATAAAGAGTGCAACAGATCTCCCATCTGCTGATCCACTCCACAAATGACCATCTCAGCCAGTCAGGCCAGGCTGAAGCATGGGTCTTCTGTGTCTCCTCTGGGTCTCCCATTTGGAGGAGGTGCCCCAGGACCTATGCCATGTTCTGCTGCTTCCTCAGGGTGCACTAGTGAGGAGCTGGATCGGAAGTGGAGCAACCAGGACATGAACTGCCAAATCGGCCATGGTTAAGTGTGGATTATTTCCAGCAAAAATAAAGAGAGAGGGAGAAAATGGAGCAGCCAGGACTCATGCCCGTATGGGATTTCAGTGCTGCTGTGCCTTAGAATGCTTGGATGAAGGAGTAAACTGAGGCTCCGACAGGGTTAATTATGCTGTCCAAGTTTACAGCAGATAGTGGCTTTTATCTGATTCTTGCCTGAATCCAAAGTCCCTGCTACTCCTAATGCCGGAGCTGCACTAATGCAGGAGATACACAGCGGCTGATGACTAAAACAGTCCTAGGGCAGGTTCAAGCATTTCATGGAATGTATGCCTTTTTCTTCGAAAGGGCAGGATCTTGGCTCCATGTTAGTTTAATTTGACCAGCAGACCATGAGGTCATACAGGACCTCTGAACAGATTATTTTATTTAATGTGAAGAACATAGGCTTCCGATCTGAGAAAGAACTTACTTCCTGTCTGCCTTCTAGCTTACTCTGCCATTAGACTGACTTTTCTCTCCCTGCCTCCCATCCTCACCATGAGAGAAAGACCTGGCCATTCACACTCATGTTTGGAATATGCACCTTGCTCAGAGACTGAACTTTAAGCAAACAAACCCCAAACCTTTGCAGCTATCAGAATGAGAAATAACCTTATTTTCATGAAAATGCAGGCTTGGGGCGGGGGGAGTATGTGGCTGTTTGGCCCAGAGTTTAAGACATTGCCCAAGATTTCTACAGCCCAATCAGAGTGTCTGGGGTTCAAGTCCTGGCTCTGGCTTGTGCAGACCCTGGGAGCAGTGGGGAAGGCTAAGGTACTGGGTCTCAGTCACCATGCTGGATGGAGTGCCTAGCTTCTGGCTTTGCCACTGTGGGCATCTAGCCAGTGAACCCGAGTCAGTGAGGAGCGTGCTCTGTGTCTCAGGAGAAAAAAGTAGGCTTCAAACACACCACTGCTTTTTGTTGAAGAAATAGTGCCATTTATTGTCAGGTGGAACATGGTGTGGATTATTGGCATATTTGTCTTAAAACACAAATAATTGTTATTAAAAATAAAATAACCTGAAGTGACAAGGAATCTTGATGACCGGGTACTTCAGCGGGAAACACCCTTGCAACTCGCCTGGCAGCAGCTGGTGGTGAGCACAGGGACTTAGGTTTTCCGCAGAAAAGCCCCAGGCCCTGTAGGTGTGGGTCTGCAGTTATTTTTAAAAAGCCACCTCTAAAAATAAACAGGTGTCACAAATGTCTGCTTTGCCAGACATTACTACTCGTCTTACTGTCATTCTTAACCCCGAAGCTTACACCTGGGCTGAGTAAGCTTAGGGAGCTGTGAACGGCACTCAACAACAGGGCTGAAAGCAGCTAGGGTCTCCAGGGAGCTGCGGTGTGTGCCGACATGTGCTGTCTGTACTGAGGTCTGGCAGTGGGTCAGCACGAGAGGACAATCATGCATGAAGGGGTGGACACTGAGAAGCCATAGCTACCCTCAGTTGTGCAGGCACTCACGGGAGACACGGCTGTGCCTCAGACTCACACAGCTGCTTAATCACCAGTGAGCAGACAACCCCCCACACATGGCATTAAAGGACATTTGTCAAAAGTCATCAGTGAGGAGCTTCATGAGGAAGAGCAACTATGGTGGTTGGAGTGGGAGTGGAAAAACCGCTATCTCCTCCATTTGCTGGCTCACTCCTCAAACAGCCCCAACAGCCAGGTCTGGGCCAGCCTCACCGGTGGTGTAGGTGAGGTACCTCGGACCTCATCCCCTACTCGGGCATGGCAGCAGGAAGCTGGACGAAAACAGCTAGGACCAGCTTTCGACTTAGGATACTGGTATTTTATAAATGGCGACTTAACCTGCTATGCCGTGACACGGGCCTTGGAAATGCCTCGTGTCAGTGGCTACCCTGTGTGGATCACTTTGTCCTCGTTAATTCATGTGTGTGATGCTTCATAAAATGTTCAATTCTCAGCAAGAACAAACATGTCCCTGTAACATTAAACACTGCAGCTGGAAGAACCATGGCCCCTGAGTCCTCTCCTGTAGAAGGAGAGACTGAAATGCAGTTTCCCCACAGTGGCTTCTATCTGAGCTACAGCATCTGCCTGGGGAAGGGGCACATCTGAAGTCTTCTAGCTCCTGGGCCAGCTGCGATCCTCAGGGGCCGCTCGGCAGTCCTCTGTGGCCTCTATGCCCTCCCAGCTCTCAGAGACACCTCAGGGCTCCCTCCCTCACCACCTCATTACAGGGACCATTCTCCTGCCACCCAGTGGGAGAGCTCCTGCCCAGGTAAGGGGTTCCAGTAGGGAACTCCCTCTTCTCAGAAAATCACCTAGTTGGGGTTGGACCTCTTGGTCCCCTTCACATTGCCTAACTGGCATGTGGACTACGTGGAGTCCATACTGTCACAGCCATGGCAATCCTAATAGGAAGAAGGGGCAGATTCTTAACATCTTTCCAGACTCCCTTGAAACTTCTCCCAGAACCTGAGCCTGCTTCCTCAAAGCACTCTCCTCAGCTGCCATGCTCAGTTTGCCCTTGGAATTTTGGATACGTGCAAGCCCTAGGGAAGGCCTGAGCCAGGATAAGAATCATAAACTGACACACAAGGTGCTCAACACAGGAAGCTAGCATCAAAGTCACGAACAGTGGAAGTGACGGAGCCAGCCAGCCCCGGCCGCTGAGCCTGTGGAGCCCCACTGCCCAGAGTGACAGCAAGTGGAAGAGGCATGTGTGGGCTAATTACTATTATGTCCACCCAATTTAGGAGATGTATGATGCTTGTATGAATAACAGGATGAATGTGGTGATACAGGTAGTCATTTCTTGAAAGTATCAATTTCATTACAATGTCTTCTAGCAGCAGCTTTATAAGGTTTGTGCTCCAAGGGCTTAGAGTGAGGTCTGATGTGGTGCGGTGGATTCACAGGCAACAGCGACAAGCCTCATTAGAGTGCCAGCCGCAGCATCAGCTGGCAGAAACTGGCACTGGGGGCTAATCCTGTCAAGTTAAACTGCAGAACCACCTGGAAAGTGCACAATCTGGGAGTGAGAGACCTGGGAGGGAAATAGTGGGTTCCCCCCTCTTGGGTTACCACTCCCATGGGAGGGCACGAGAACTAGGACAGGGGCTGGGGTAGCTAGACAGAGAGGCACTCAACCACACCCGTGAAGGCTTGACTGTTGAGTTGGTTAGATGGATCCAAGCTTCAATGCCATTTGCCATGTACAAGAGCCAGGGGGGATATGGGACAGATTGGACTGGTCTGCTGCACATATTGGCAAACTAGGGTAGGGGGTGGGCCTGGTGGGGGTTATTGTGGGTCGCTCTCATCAGGATGCAGCTCCCACTGGTTTAGGTGAAGACCGAATATGTGCTGTGCAGAACCAGGCTGGACTGCAACACCCATTGGTTCCAGTAGAAGGCGGGGCTGAAAACAGAAGCAACCTAGCACTTGCAACTACCAGCTGACCGGGTGATGGACTGTGCTGGGCCCTGTGCTTGCTGGTGCATACAAGTATCTGGCCTGGGAACATCTCAGATGAAGAGTGCCAGTTTAAGTCCTTTCTGCTTCCAATCCAGTTTTTTCCTAATGTACCTGGGAAAGCAGTGAAAGATGGCCCAACTGCTTAGACCCTCAGCACCTTTGGGAGAAACTCTGATGGAGCTGCAGGCTGCTGCCTTCCACTTGGCTCAGCACTGGCTGCTGTGGCCATTTGGGGAGTGAACTAGTAAACGGTTGACCCACCTTTCTCTGCTGCTCTTTTAAACAAATTTTTAAAATTTCAGGGTATGCTACAAATGTGCTCCATCTACAGAAAGATTGATTCACTTTAAAGAAGACACCATTTGGACCTGGCATGGTAGCCTAGTGGCTAAAGTCCTTGCCTTGCCTGTGCCAGGATCCAATATGTGCACTAGTTCATGTCCTGGCGGCCCCGTTTCCCATCCAGCTCCCTGCTTGTGGCCTGGGGACCCTGCACTCACATGGGAGACTTGGAAAAAGCTTCTGACTCCTGGCTTCAGATCGGCTCATCTCTGGCTGTTGTGGCCAGTTGGGGAGTGAATCAGCAGGACAGAAGATCTTCCTCCGTCTCTCCTTCTCTCTGAAAGGGACACTATTTGCTTACCATGCCTAAAGTAACAGACGCAGCCCTCCCCAGGCACACACCAGAACCTGCACTTGATCCTGGCCAGAAGGCAGAGACGCCATGTGCCAGAAGCCTTACCTGACCCACGGTAAATCAACCAACAGGTCCTTCTAGGAACTTCTAAGGAGGATGTGCAAAGAATATTCCACTTATTTTCAGCAAATAAATTCAAACTGGTATAAACTAGTTAGTAGAGAGTAAAACAAGACACACAGTTCCCTTTTCTGGTTCTCAGTAGTCAGATGCTTTGTTCCCATTTGCTAAGCTCAGAGCTGAAACAGGCATATGTATATGCACAAGAACCAACAAGGCAGCTCTTTCCACATGTCCAGTCTGTTGCCATGCCTCTATCACCCGCTCTGCCAGATGGAGGACTCGACAGGGCAGCCGGACCCCAGACTGCCAGCTGCAGGCACTGGCCATTTACACACACCCAGCTGGCCAGCCATCTCACACGCAGGTGCAGGTGGCCCCAAAGCATCACGACTTGCTTTCTCCTTTCTCCTCTGGTACCGTTTCCCACAATGGCTCCTTGATGTGTTCTGGTAACCGTTCCAGTTGTGTCTAAAACAAAACAGAACACAACTACTATACAATGTGAACGGACATGTGCTCTTCGGCTGTAAACCGGACTTATCATCACTTCTTCCTGCCACTTCTTCGTTTTATCCCACCAACTTCCCATATTTTTGCAGGGCTCTGAAATGGAGGGGAAGAAATCCGAATGGATATAAAGCGCTCTCAGATCAATGGTCCTGAGACCGAGGGTTTGTCACTGCATGCAGTCCCTGAGCCCAGATACCTCCCATTAGCTCTCCAGCAGGCCTGGGCTGCATGGCAGCATTCCGTCACACAGGGAGAAGGTTCTAGTCCCTGGCCACTGTGCCTCCCACTTAATACATGTCTGTGCCTGCAGGTGATGGGCCAGGACCAGGCTGCCACACATCAAAACCAGACGGACACACTGCAAACAGACAGGTACCCAGGTCATACCTTTGTTACTTCCATGGCAACTCCTTCCGGTAAGTTTCGCTGAATATACTCCAAGTACACATCTGCTGTACTTCCGGTTAGACGTTCTAGCTAAAATAACAAGTGTGAAAATGGTCTATCACAGGGGGAAGAAAGGAATGGAGCCTGGCCTTCCACTAAGGAATGCTACACTGAATCTGCCCCCCATCCTTTTTTTTTTTTTTTTTTTTTTTGATTAAAGTATACCATGTTTTACCTATGCTTCAACTCTGGCTGAACTGCACGCAGGGGGCACAAGGCCTTCCCGCAAATGCAGCAGCTATAAAGTCTTGCTCCATATATCCACAGCCATCTATTAAAAAGTGTCACAAAGCAACTCAAGATAAAAAAAAAAAAAAACCAGCAGGCTGGATTTTAAGACAGAGTTGAAGATTTCTCTTTTTAAGAAAGATTTATGTGTTTATTTAAATGGAAAGGCAGATTGACAGACAGAGTAAGATCTTCTGTTTGCTGATTCATTCTCCAAGTGGCTGGAATGGCCAGAGCTAAGCTGACCTGAAGCCAGGAGCCAGAAACTTCCTCTGGATCTCTCATATGGGTGCAGGATCCCAAGGCTTTGGGCCATCCTCCACTGCGTTTCCAGACAACAAGCAGGGGGCTGGATGGGAAGTGGAACAGCCAGACATGAACTGACACATATATGGGATCCCGGCGCATGCAAGGCAAGGACTTTAGCCACTAGGCTACCATGCCAGGCCCTTGGTTTTCTTTAAACACAAAGACACTTCCCTTCTCTACAATGAATGGGCAAGGGCTGGCTAAAAGCAAGTCGATCAAATCAACACCAAAGGCAGCTTAGGACAGGCTAGTGTAACAGGAGTGTTCTGAAAACGCCTGAGTGCCGGCAATCAACTCACCTCTAAGCACCTGTACAGAGTCCGCATTTCATACTGAACCCTGTGCTTCTTGAAAATGTGCACTGATTTGAGAAGAGTAAATCGCTCTATTTTCCTTGGAGGTTCGTGTCTGAAATGAACGGGCAAAATAACATGTTGACTGATGAGGAGACCTGAGTCACTGATACCAAAGCACGATTCCACTCCTCCGTAGGTCAGGCCCCACTCAACTGGAGGCAAGAGCCATCACTTAAGGACTTCCACCTGTCAGGACTGTCGTCTGTGGCAACCACCACTGATGGCAGAAATCCCAGCCAAAAACCAACCCTGTGAAAGCAGCAGGAACCTTCTCCCGTAGACTCCACGTACCACATCCCTGCTGCTTCTGCACCGAGTCCCTCTCTGACCACACGTGAACTGTGAAGACTAACAATGCTGTGTGGTCACAGGAGGAATGTCTGCAGTTGTAGGCAAGCGCAGCTTCCACTGTAACCCAGCTGGTTTTAGGAAGTGGCACACCCTTCGTCTTTATTAAAGGTCAGACTGGCGAATCCCCACATGGCCATCATTTACTACCAGAAACAGCAGGTGCCAATTCACAGGAGGCAGTTCCACCTGACCCTGGGTAACTCCCGGACACATGAAGTTCACCTTGCTGGTGCAGGAAATCACAGGGGGAGGAGTGTTTGTCAGGGCAGATGGGAGATAACGACCTGCTGGCCAAAGATGACCGACCCAAAGGTCTGAAGTGACAGGCTGTCTTAGGGAGAGCCCAGAGAGGTGGGCTCCTCCAACATCCTCTAGCATTCCCATTCCTTGTTTACTCATTCTGGCATCTATAAAGTCCGAATGGAGAGGCAGGGTTGATCCTGTTCACGACACTGATACTTGAAGCACCCTGCTCCAGCAGGCCGGGTTAGGACAGGGCACACTTACACTTTAACAGAGATCCCAAGCTCTTTAGCAGCAAGCACAGCAAAATACTCGTAGCTGTCCAACACGGCCTTGTCGTGGCCTTTCACTAAAATGGAAAGCCGCTTATATAAGGTGTCGGGTTCATCGGAAACGGTGATCTAAAACCCGAGAAAAAAGTTTCAGCTGTGGTTCTTCCATTTCTAACTGGTACATTTAACATGCTACCCTCCAACTGAACACCTTTCAAGTTTCTAATAAATGGGAAGAAAAATGCTGCCTAACACCTTACCACTGTGAGCTTAAGGACCGGGGGACTGGTGCAATGCCCTGCACCGCTGGGGAGTACAGAGCATGAAGCCTCAGGACTTGTCAAGGTAACTTACAAAATCACTAACAGAACGTTCCAACTTTAGTCACTGAGCCGCTGGTTCACAATGAGAAGGGACCCCAGGATCCGTTAGCACAGTGGGAAGACTGGGTTTGACGCCTGCACTCTGCTACTCACAACTACGTGTGCGTGACAACGGCCAAGGCACACAGTCTCAGTGCTCTTCACTTGCCTTGTGGAGAAAATAGAATTCTTTTGCTACAGAGCTCACAGATTTCTTAATGAATAAAACATGAAACCTGACCCAAACATTTAAAACAGTTATGCACAGGCAAACTGTTTCTCTTCATATCCTTTTTTGTTAGGTTTTACTCATAGATGGTTTGCCTGCCCTGATACACTTGTTACTCATTTCTAATTAAAATATTGTGACACTGACTGCACCTATAATTTCTACCTCCGCCTCCTTAATACCAGGAGACCTCAGAAATAATGGGTTTCATATTTCTTTCCTCCAAGATGTGAACTACCTTTATTTCATTCATCCATTAAACCAGTAAGTGGTATTACTAATCCAATGATTCAATGTTGAAATTACTTCAACGCTGCAAAGAGGTCTACCTTCTAATCAGGAAGTGAGACATCCACTCTTCATTAATTCAAGCAAGTCTGTTGGAAGAACAAACATACTGACGCCCCTAGGCATACGCTGTGAGGAGGAGGAGTGTAGCCCTAGAACGCACTGAGTGAGTACTGTAGGTCCTAAATGGGCTCCAGGGGGACAGCCCTTACTGCAGAACCAAAGCCGTGGAGGCCATAGGAAAGTGCTCTTCCGTAACACATAGTATCCGGCATCACTAAGCATGACAACTTTCTGTAGTCACACCGAGGTGACAGCACAGACCGGCCGTTCCATCTGCGATGGATAACTGGTTCTTTTAGAACTTCCCTGTGCAGTATGATCATCCCCATGCAACTACACATCTGCCAGTACTCAAGTATCTGGAAAACATCCCCGAATAAAACCATAAGAAATAATTAAGAAATAGAGAACACATACCATGGGTTTGGTCAACTCCTTAGGAATATCAATGTGCAGGTTTGAGAACTGTACCCACTTCATATTGGTACTGCTATGCATGGGGAAGAAAAGAGAAACTCAGGTGTAAGAAGTGCAGGAGCCCACTGCCATGTTAAATGGAGCACACCCCATTGTGTACTTACACAAGAAAACCACCATGTTTGGCTGCACTGCCCTTGGAGGTGTTTATGGGAAAACTCCCCAAGCCCTGAAAATACAAGGGGCAGGAACACGTGTTCACTTTCTCATTTTTAACAGAATAATTACATTTCTTTATTACATTGATTTTGCCTGGATATTTTTAAACAATAACAACATCTAAACGTTTTTATAATCTAACTCTCTAGGAGCTGGAGAAAGCATTTTGAAGTACTCTTCTCATACAAGGTAGTCAACCACAGGGCAAACCACAATAACTTATTTTCAAATCCTCTTCTGGTGGCTCTCTTTGCTGGAACAAAACTTCCTAGCTTCAGGAAACAGTACTGGACCTGTACCTAGTTTCCATCTACTGGTTTCTACTTGAAGCCTTCCTGGGATTCACAAGCACGGCCTGAGGGGCGAGACTGGAGTATTCACACAGTGGTGAGAGGCTGTCTGGGATGTTCACAACCCGTATCCGTGTAGATGCCTGGCCGGGTCCGGGCTCCACCTCCAACCCCAGCTTCCTGAAAGCAGCAGATGACCGCTCAGGTAGTTGAGTCTCTGCCACCTATGAGGAAGTGAACCGGGGTTGGGCTAAGAATTGAGATCCGTGTTCCCGGCTTCGGCCTTGCCTGGTCTGGGCTGTTGCAGCTATGTGGGAAATAAACCAGCAGATGCAAGATCTCTCTCTCTACTTTGTGAATATTATTAAAATTGGTAAATAAAAAATATTAGGGCCTGGCGTAGTAGTCTAGCGGCTAAAGTCCTTGCCTTGCATGCGCCAGGATCCCATATGGGCTCTGGTTCATGTCCCAGCTGCTTTACTTCCCATCCAGCTTCCTGCTTGTGGCCTGGGAAAGCAGTGGAGGACGGCCCAAAGCCTTGGGACCCTGCACCGCATAGGAGACCCAGAAGAGGCTCCGGGATCCTGGCTTTGGATTGGCTCAGTTCCAGCCGGTGATGGATCGAAGTCCTGTCTCTCTTCCTCTCAGCATGTCTGCTTTTCCAATAAAAGCAGTAGGCTTAGCCTTGGCCTGCAGCATCAGCATCCCATATATGTGCTGGTTCGAGTCCTGGCAGCTTCACTTCTGATCCAGCTCCCTGCTGGTGGCCTGGCAAGACAGCAGAAGAGGGCCTAAACCTTTGGGACGCTCCTGCACCCACTTTGGAGGACCTGGACAAAGATTCTATCTCCTAGCTTCAGATTGGCTTGGCTCTGGCAGTTGATGCCACTGGGTGAAAGGGAGCGCTCTCTGCTTTTTCCCTTTCTATACTTCTGCCTTTCAAATAAAAAAAAAAAAAAATATGTATATATATATTTAACTCCTGGATTTCTTTGACAAAGCTGTAACCTGAGGAAGCAGAATAACAATAGTGTTAAAAATACACGATGAAAATAAGTTCAAAACAAAATGAAGTGTAATCACAACAAGGGATGTCAGCTAAAAATGTTGCAAAAGCCTATCCTTGAGCTGCTCTTTATCCAAAATGAAGATGGAGTCCCCTTTTTCTTAGGTGTACAGGAGAAAACCGAGAGACAGGAAATCACAGTACAAGGTCGCAGAAGTGTGCCCGCGTGCCATTCTGCCCACAGGATCACCGGGAGACACCCCCCACCCGCCCTGCAGGCCAGGAGCACATGGTTAAGGAAAGGGCACCCCACTGTTCTCCACAAGTTCAAACTCAAAAAGCTACATCCACAAATTGCTTTCCTGTCTGAACTGAGCATGTGGAAGAGGGCAGTCTGAATACAAATGCTAAGGAATTAAAAAAAAAAAAAAGTCATGCTTTAACACCATTCATTTTTTTTTTTCAAGAGCACTGGGAGGGCCCAGAAGTCATGTTCCAGAAGAACCTGCACAGCAAAGTCCTTTTCCACAGCTTTCCACTCTCCCTCCCTCTGCAGAACACAGCACAGCTCACAGGGGGCTGCACCAGCACCAACCTGCAGGGCTGTCACCAAAGAACCAGCTGGCTTCTGTGTGAAACCAGGCGTTAAAGAGATTTAAAAAAAAAAAAGTAAAATCATTGTCACTCCTAAGTTAGTTTTGTCTTGGAAAGCACAGGTGAGTTTCCTGTTAATGACATTAACATCCCATTACTTTGAAAAACACCGGGATACCTTAAAACAGGATTACTGTCTTATTCTAGAAAGGCTAAATCGATACAGCTGGCTGAAGCCACAAATCCAGAAATTCCTCAAAGCTGTCCTCTCGCTGAGCGTTGGGAAGGATCCCCAGGGCGGCCGCGGGGCGCTGGGGCTCCCCAGCTTTGCGAGACCAGCATCCTGTCAACTCAGTTTTTTCTGCAAATACGCGGGTGGAATATTCGCTCTGTAGCCTTTCCAGCTCTGGTCTCCTACGGCTCCTTCTGCTCCTTTCTGCCCCGGCACTGCTTTTATGCTCAATCTCACCAGAGAACTCAGTGACAGCAGCCCCCTCCCTCACCACCTGCTGGGCAACACCAGCCCGAGGCAGGAGCCGTGTCAGGGACAGTTCCTGACGAGCTGCAGGGCTGACAGCTGCGAGGCTCGGCGACCCCCAGCCCCGCCGGTCCCGCCAGCCCGCGCCGACCCCCAGCCCTGCCAGCCCGCGCCGACCCCTAACCCTGCCAGCCCCGCCAGCCCCGCCAGCCCCGCCAGCCCCGCCAGCCCCGCCAGCCCCGCCAGCCCCGCCAGCCCACGCCGACCCCTAACCCCGCCAGCCCCGCCAGCCAGCCCCGCCAGCCAGCACCGGCTCCGTCTCCCCAGCCAGCCTCGTACCTGCCAGAGGCGCCGGCACACGGACCCCACGGCCGTCCGCACCGCCATCTTGCCGTCCACACCTCCCAGAATTGCTTCCGGGACCACAGCGGCGGCCTTGGACCATAGAGTTTACCGAAGGACAGAGTGTCTCCTCGTATTCCGGCACAGGAACAATCATAGAGACGTGGTTCCTCGCTGGCTTGTGGTGGGAGGACACCTGGCCAGCTCATACACATCCTAAAATCCTAAAATCCCTCCCGCCCGATTCTGGGAAATTACCAGATCACATATTCCCATGTTTTGCTTCCAAGCCGTGTTTATCCTGTGGTTCAATGTTTTGCTTGAAAAAATACACAGCTATCTCTGGGAAGTGAAATAGTGGCTGAATTATTTGCTTCCTTTTTTTTTTTTTAAGAATTTTATCAAAATGTCTATTCATTAAAATGTTTTTAAAAATGCCTTCCACTAGTACAGAGTCAAGGCTCCAATCTCTTGCCTGTCAAACAATAGCCTGGCAGTCATGTTCTTTAACCCCAGCTTCTCAGCCCAGCTCCAGTCTTCTTGTATACCAACTTCCTAACTATTCCTAACATACTTGTTTTCTTACGTTGTCTAGTATTTCAGAATTTGCAAGGGCTGCCTTCACCTGGGATAATAACCTGGAAGTGTTTGGTGTAGTTGTTGTGTCCCCGTCACTTAGTTTCAGTTAAAAAGGCTTATCAGGGATGTGCTAAGTTTTATTTACAGTTTATGTGAATGGAACATTCTAGACTTGCAGTTCGGTGCTGTAGTTTCTGATCCCAGGTTTTTCACTTCATCATCCTGGGCCCCAGGTTTCTCGTGTCAGAGATGATAATGGTTCCTTCTTGGAACAGCTGCTTGGAGGATTGTGCGAGCTGTTGACGGCTGATTGTAGTCTCGCCTAATGTTTGCTAAACGCATGACAAGTGTCATCCATGATGTATCTCACTGGCCTTGCAGGTTGTTGAAAAGTGGAGAGGTCAAGTTTGTGAGAACAAGTTCAGAGTCACAGTGTCTAAACCAGGGATTGTGCAGATGGGAAGATTTCTTTGTTTTTACTCCTCACAAGTTGATAGGCCCTGTTTTGCAAAACAAAACAAAAACAGAGAAGGAAGGAAGGGGAGCAGAGATCTGCCCAACTTGCAACAAACTGCTGAAAGATCCACGGGGCAGCCTGGTGGCTGGCCTCCCTGCACAAGGACTCAGGCTCTGGGAGCGGGTGTTGGCTGACACGTCCACAGGAACCTTTGTGCTTCTGCTGCCCTGGGCCAAGCCCTACCTGGGCAGCTGGCCTGGTGCTTGTCTAGAATTCACCCCCAGTTCACACCAAGGCAGTGGACATACCAACAGACTCCTCATCCCCAACCTGGTTGTGCTTCTGCAGACTGCATCAGCCTTTCCAGTCAGCATTTCCACGACGGTCCTTTGTTCTGTTCGTGTCCCCCTTGGAGTGACCTCAGTTGAGGAGGAGTTTTGCATCTACAGTGTAGGTGACATTCCCACCTGCACACAGCTATCACCTGTGTTAGCTAATAAGAAGATGTTGAGTTTTATCCTAATTTAATGGGTGAATCAGAGATAAAGGGGCTCTAGAGAGAGCCCGGAGAGCTGACAGCCAGGAGCAGAGGGCCAGAGAGCAGAAGGGAGAGAAAAGAAGGGAGTGTACTCTTACAGCATAGGGATGGTTCCTGGGAGTACAGGGTTACGAGGATTGGTAGGAAAGGTGACAGGTGGGGCAGGGATACGGGGCCACAAGGGGTTGGTGGACAGGGCTGTCAGGGAACAAAACTGGGCGAAACTGAAATGTAAGGGAGCTGAAGCCTAACGAAACAGCTATTTAAAGTAGTGGCAGGTCTAAATGGTGGGGGTGGGGGGTCTCATTGGTCTTCCTGGCTGATGTTCAACTCACTCCTCACACTAATGCAGTGCTTTTTCTCCTCCCCCATAGTGGGCTGCTTCTGATTCTGTGATGAGGTTCACTTCTATCTGGGTCTCTGGAGGCGAGGCAGGCACCCTCTTCCATCGCCTCTAAAAAAGTGTGGGTTTAATTTACTTAAAGAAAAAAAAAGATTTATTTATTTGAAAGGCAAAGTTACAAAGACAGATTGTTCATTTGCTGGTACACTCCTCAGCTGGCCACAGCATCTGGCGGCAGGACCAGGCTGAAGGCGGGGGCTTCTTCCAGGTCTCCTGTGTGGCACCAAGCCTTGGCTGCTTTCCTGGGTCATTAGCAGGGAACTGGGTTGGAAGTGAAGCAGTGGGTCTGGAACTGGCAACTGTAAGGAATGCTGGTGTCACAAGGGGCAGCTTAACCCGCTGCATCACAGAGGTTTATTGCGAAGGACCTGGAAGTGTGCTGAAAGCAGCAAAGGGGACTGCATCCCAATCCCTTCCTCCAAAGGCCAAACCTGATCTTATGAACGAGTTTCCTCTGCTTACAGACTTCATCTTCCTGTGCTAAGCCATATTGTGTGTCACCAAACAGCCTTTGGGCCTGACGACTTTGGGCAAGGTACCAACCTGGTCCAATTCCCTGGGAGCAAAACCTACCAGTTTTTCCAGCAGTTAGGCTGCCAACAAGGCACTCTGGAATATGTGGGCATAGTCAGTGCTCCAAACTTGGCCTGTGAGCTGTGGGTTTCTTGCCTACAGTCCAAACTTTCAAACATCTAACAGAAATGGTCAGGAGCTGTGATTCTTGCTCATGCACCTGGCTTTCTTTCTTTCTTTCTTTCTTTCTTTCTTTCTTTCTTTCTTTCTTTCTTTCTTTCTTTCTTTCTTTCAAAGATCTTTATTTTACTTGAAAGGCAGATTTACAAAAAGGAGAAACAAAGAGAAAGATCTTCTACCCACTGGTATACTCCCAAGTGGCCATAACGGCTGGAGCTGAGCTGATCTGAAGCCAGGAGCCAGGAGCTTCATTCAGGTCTCCTATGTGAGTGGCAGGGTTTCAAGGACTTGGGCCATCCTTTGCCACTTTCCCAGGCCACAAGCAGAGAGCTGGAAAGGAAGTGGAGCAGTTGGGATATGAACCAGCACCACATGGTATGCTGGTGCTTGAAGGTAGATTAGCCAATTGAGTTGTGGTGCTGGCCCCCATGTACCTGGCTTGATTTCCAGGAAAAAGAAACAAGCAAACAAAAAAAGGCACATGATTTGTTTTCTAAGCTAAATTGTAGCTTGATTGTACCAGTGGTTTTAAAAGGCAGCCCTTGGGCCTAGTGTGGTAGCCCAGTGGCAAAAGTCCTTGCCTTGCATGTGCTGGGATCCCATTTGGGCACCAGTTTGTATCCCAGCATCCCTGCTTCCCATCCAGCTCCCTGCTTGTGGCCTGGGAAAGCAGTTGAGGACGGCCCAAAGTCTTGGGGCCCTTCACCTGTGTGGGTGACCCGAAAAAAGCTCCTGGCTCCTGGCTTCAGATCAGCACAGCTCCGGCTATTGCAGCTACTTGGGGAGTGAATCATCTGATGATATTTCTGACTCTCCTCCCTGTATATATGACTTTGCAATAAAAGAAAAAAATCTTTTTTTTTTCTTTAAAGGCAGTCCTTTCAGAAGATGCTTACAAAAAGGAACCAACCAACCCTTTTGCTCTTTTATACAGAAGTATCTCTGAGCTAAAGATCCCTTAAGGTTCATTGAGGATGAACTAAAATGTCTTCCTAGTCATGTTTTATATCGGCATTGCAATTCCTCACATGTTCCTGGAGCAAATCAGGCCAGGCATCCATGGGATGGAGAATTGATTATAGGAAAATACAGAATTTTTGTGCTCTGATGTCTTTGTCTCACTCATGGACACACATATATACACACACAACATCCCTGGAAGACTAGAGAAGTAATTAACAAGTAGTTGAGGAACACCTGCTAAGAATGGATGTGACTGTATGTGTGAGCTACTGGTGGTTAGGGAGCTCAGGATATTGTAAAAAACAAGACCTTTGTTCTTCCCAGTGGGGACCCTGGATCCATATGGGATTCCCAGGCCCAGCATGTTCTGTCCAGCCATTACACTTGTTGACAGAAATAAATCATCTCTATGCATGCTCCTCAGGCTGGATAAAGCAGGTTGGAACAGTGCCTGGAATACAGGAGCTCACGAGGACTGAAGGAATAGTTCTAATAGATGGAGCAGAGCTATAGATTTGACAACTACATCCTAGAAGATGACTGGGTAAAGGCACACTGCGTTGAGAGGAATAGTTCTTTCATCTGACGCAAGGTTGTGTAAAACAGGTAGCAAAATGAAAGTTAAAAAAAAACACACAGATCAAGGCCTTGGGCAGGCATGCCTCTTAAGGGATATAAAATGCCAAATTTTTCATAAAATGCCCAATTTCCCATTTCTTCTAAAAGTTGCTATTCATTATTAAAAGGGAAACATTTAAAATTCAGAAATAAGGATTTGAAACAAATCAAGACGGTCGTGGACTTTGAGGAAGGCTTACTGTAGGTGGTCTCTGTGTCATACAGTCCCTTAGGACAGTCCGGCTAATAGCCCATTTCTCCAGCAGTGGGAACTTAGGTCAGTGGCTAGAAAAGAAGGACGTTGTAAGACAGATGAAACTCAGAAAGATAATATTTTTATTTCCAGAGCAGCTGATGCAATATTGAGTCAGGTTTTCACAAATAAATATAACAGTGTCTATTTGATTACATCTGCATTTGATGAATGCCCACTTACAGGAATTTTCATAAACTTCTGCCAAGGCTCATGATGGGAACCTGTGACGTAGAATTCTTCTAGTTCAATTTCTGAAAAAGTATGATAATGATTTTTTAAAAATCCTTATCACTCAGAGGTAAAAAAAAAAAAAAAACGACCTAGAATGCCCCAGTTCTTTTATTTTCTTTCTTTTTTTTTTTTTTTTAAGGAATGCACCTTTTCAGGACAAGTCTATAAAACATTTTTTTATTTATTTGTTACATTGATGTTTAAATATAACTTTGCTTTCAAGCTTCAAACTTTTTTTTTAACCCCTGGTAAAATAAGACTTTTGGTTCACCTTAACAAAAACTGACCTAGGAAGAAACATTTTTAGCAAAATGTTATAAAATTCACTAGAAAATACTGTCCTTTTTTTTTTTTTTGCCAAAATGTTACATAAAATCCTTATTAAAAAATACACACATTACAAAAGAAAAAATGAAGAATATGCTATACAGAGTGCTTTGATATGGACCAAGGGAATTGCATTCCGGCAACATCGTTAAGCACACGCGATATGGTGATGTCAACTTATAATAGTGCAAACCTGAATAAATTACATCCTGATATGGAAGCATGCAAGCCATCTGCTGAAAACAAACAGAACAAAGCCAGAACAGGAAGCCATCACAAGCACTATTTAAAAATGTTTTCCTTTTTTATTACATTAATTTTTTTCAAAAATACTTTTTCTTTACAATAGAACTCCTAGAAAATATTTACAACCTTCCTCTAATAAAATATAACAGCAGTTAAATATATTTGAAAATAAGATGGGTTTTTTTTTCCATAAAATATATCTGTTAACATTTTATATACAGGCTTTCTCAAAGAGGTCTAAATCCACTAATGAAAAACCATGTGATAGTAAACAGTAAATGTGTTGAAGACATTAGCCATCAGGAAGCGAAAGACTTGGGGTGGGGGCGGCCGCTAAAACACAACACACACACACACACACACACATGCAGGGAGTCAATGCAGGAACAAAGCCAAGTGCAATATTTAACTAGGAAGTCCATTCTTTTAAAGTTGATAGTCAAGAAAACATTAATTCAGGAATTTGAACCGTCTCGCTAAGGAGTTCTTTGGTTATTTCAAGTCACAAACCCTTTCACTATACTGCATGGGAGATGAACATCAAATTGTGCATGATATGCTTGCCGAGGCAACTCAGTTTATTTATTTATTTTTTCAATGTTTAAAACCAGAACAGCTGGGCAAATCTCCAAAAAGAAGAAACGCATCGTTTTATAAACATTTCTCTGGGCGTTTGCTCTCAGCAGAGATAAGCTTCCATGGACCGACAGTTTCAGACTCACTCCCAGACCACCAGCAAAAGTCCAGGGCAGGGACAGCAGGGAATAGGGTGACTGGCTAAGGACAGTTGAGAGTGGTTTTTGGAATATTTCTGTCCCCTCATGCATGCTGCTCAGGTGGTTTTCAACTCAAAACTAGGGGAAAAAAGAAAAACCAAAAACCACCAGGCCAGAATAACCTGACTGAAATGGCAGCCCATGAGCTTTTTTTTGTTTTCTTTCTCAAGAAAAGGAGAGTGGCCAGGACCTCTTCTCTGATGGGAGAGCGAAATAGCCTGTTTTTTTTTTTTTTTCCTCTCTCTTATACAACTTTCCTGAGATCCCCTTGTGAGTATGTGTGACACAAGAAGACAAACTTAGAAGTCATCTCAGGGGATAGTCTGGTACCTCCACCACAGTCCCATGCCAAGGCTGTGCCCGCCAAGTGGCCCGGCAGCTGAGCCATGTTTATACTGCTGCTGGCAGGGAGTGAGATTTGACTTCCCTGGGGGGCAGGCCAAGGCATGACCACCCCTGCTCCGACAGTCCCTCAGTGCTAACCTGGGAGGGAGGGAGGGAGGGAGGAGGAGCCGCAAGAAGCAGGATCCCCTTTTGGGCTGGGACTGTGTCCCTGTCCGACTCTGGCCCTAACAGTGGGATAGGTCAGTTTGACTCAGCTCAAAAACCTGGGCAATGACATATTTGGAGGATTAGAGAGGTTTATTACCTTCAAGTACAAACAGCAGCCCCACTCACAGGGGAAGGGTAGTTATGTATCTTGGAGGTCTGGAAGTGCTTTGCCAAATGACCTGTCCTGAACACACTCAATATCTGAATGTATTCGTGACCCCTAAACTGTATCTGAAACCGTTCCGTCAGCCTTGCCCAGCACTATTTCCCTTGTATTTGCTCTCAAACAGGTTGGAAAAATCCTACTGCTTGTAGCCAGCCCCAAAGTTTACCTTTAGTCCAGGAGATGTGAATGACAGCGAAATCCCAGTTGGCTGAGGTGATCCTAAGGACGTCTAAGTGACACAAAATAACGTCAGACCATTACCAGCGCTGACATAAAAAATAGCTCTTCCGTGGTTTGAGGAGGAAGAGTACTTCCTGGGAGGGTCAGAACAGAACCAGACTAACTAACTAACCCGAGGTCCTAGCAGGAGGCTAGCCTGCTTCACGTGTGCGCACTCACAGCAAGCCAACAGGGAGTGCTGACATCCAATAGCAACGGAATGTGGTTACAGCAGGTGTGTTCCCTGCTGGGAATGATGCATGAGAACACAGCCCAGATGAAACACCTCTTCGAGATAGTTGTGCCAATCATTTATTCCCCCCAACCCCCACACAACACTTTTTTTTTAAACAAAAGGAAAAGAAACTGGATTAAACTGGATTTTCCCTCCCCGCCCCTAAACCTGACTAAAACGACCACTTTTTAAACAGGTAGTTAAAAAGGGTTGCAAACACAGGCAGGCAGTCCGGGTTTCCTGATGAATGTGGAACAGGGGGCTGCCCGTGGCTTCTCGCTGTCCCTGGGCAGCTCCGCAGGGATCTAGAGTTCTGTGTCCCCCTGCAGCAGCATTGAATCCTGATCGTCCAGGAGCAGGTCGGTGTCCACTCCCTCAGCCTCCTCCACGCCGCCCAGCTGCTGCACCACCTCCTGGTCTAGGACGTCCACGTTCTTCATGGGTTTGATCAGACTCAGCTGGTCCAGGGGCAGCAGCCCAGGTGCCCCTGTAGTCCTCTCGATTGTGGCTGCCATTTCGGCTGAGAAAGCTGCCTTCTGCGCCTTCTGTCTCTGCTGTTCCTCCTGCTGCCTGTGGGTTTTCATGTGCGCGTTTCGGCTTTTGATCTTGAAGAAGACCCTGCACGTCAAGAAAAAAGGCAGGAGGTGAATTAGAGAATGGGAGCTGGGTTCTTTAAAATCTGGGTGCCCTGCATGGAGGAGGGGTGTGTGCTGGATGTGACAGGGTCCCACAAAGCTCCCCGTGGGGTTTGTAGTCACCTGTCCTCCCTCCTCACAGAGGAGAGCCGATGGGGACAGGAGCCCTGGACGGAGCACTAGACTTCCTTGTTGGGACAACATAGGAGAAATTCTTGGAGGCTGTCATGTTCACCTGGGGTTTGTAGCACCTGCTCTTCTCTTCAGCCCTCCTCTCATCATGGACCATACCCTCCCCACAGCTGAACCCCCCCATCATCCTAATGCACTCTAGGAGTTCCCATCCTCAGAGCAACTCATTCTCTGCCCTTGGCCTTGTTCTTTCACTGCTGAAGTTCTTGAAGGACAGCCCTACACATGGGCAGTCATCTCTGTCTCTTCCATGCTTTACAATTCGACTCTTGTCCCCTTCACTCCAACACAACTGGTCTTCTCAAGGTCACCAAGTCCCTCTGAGTGGTCACAGCCAACGGCCCCTCTTCTATCCTGCATCTAGCCATTCCTTTTCCGCTTAGAAGGCTTCTTGTGGGCTATCACATTGTCAAAGGTTCCTTTACGATGAACTAGTGCATCTCAGCTCAGTAGCAGTGATGGTGGTGGGGTGCTCATGCCCTCCCAGGGAGCATTTGGCAAATGCTCAGAGATATTTGTGGAAGGAGAGGGTGGTGCCTCTGGCACAGCCTGAGGAGAAGCCAGGGAGGCTGCTAAACACCCTGCAAGGTCCAGGACAGCCTTCCCCTGCCCCTTCACTCCACACAAGGGATGATCAGACCCCAGACGTCAATAGGTTGAGACATACTGGGAGAAAAGGAGAATGTATGAGCAGGGCTCATTCAGGGACCAGGGGGTCTGCCCACGGCCGGCAGTGGGTTACAGCAAACATGACTTTGCACATAAAGCTTAATGGAACACAGTCCAGCTTTGCACATAAAGCTTTACTGGAATACAATCATGTCTACTTGTACATATACTGTCTGTGGCTGCTCTTGTAGCAAAACGGCCATGCCAAGTCATTGTGACAGACAGTCTGCCCCTCAGAGCCTAAGTTATTTACTATCTGGGGCTTTCCAGAAAAAAACAAAAAACAGAAAAAAACTGCCCAGGTGTAAGACAATCTATTTAGGAAGAGGGGTGGCATAAACCCTCCGGTTCATTCACGACCTCAAAAAGAGGGGAAAAAAAGGCAACCCTGAGTTTTGAAGGCCTGTGTCAAACAGGGCTGTGGATCACAACTCCACTGGACAGACTGAAAACTGCTGAATGTCACGAAGAACATTTCCGCAGCTAAGAGAAACAGTCTGCAAACACTTGTGCCATGTCATTCCCAGACCGGAAAGCCACAGAAAATATTTCTATTTTCCATCAAGTCTTAAGCTGGCCAGAAAGAGATTTCTAGCAACATATAAGCACATGCTATGTGCCCCTGAAAGCCAGCCAGCAATGTGTAATACAAGTGGGGCACTCCTTGTCTGAAATGCTTAGGAAAGACCAGAAGTGTTATGGATTTGCACATATTTGGCTTTTGGATTTTTTGCATAGTTGCAACATTTTTTTTTTCATGTATATCTTGTACAAACAGATGGCAGGTACTTTCACACAACAGTTGTAAAATAATATGTGCATGGAACAGTATTTCGTGGTGCGGAATTTTCCCCTCGTCACATGGTATTGGTTCTGCAAGCACTTCGGGTGTTGGAGCCTTCGGGATTTGGGGGTTTAGAGATGCTCAACTTGCACTAACTTTAGTCTTAAGCCGTTCTTTGTCTCCACCTGCTGGCATATGGAGCTGGAGCCGGTTTGAGTCAAGAATGAGGTGGGGCGAGGTTCTGGTTCCTTTCAGAGGAAACTGGGAAGAACACTAATGCCCCCAACACTTCTACTCTAGGACAAGCAGGTGAGAGTCAGCTCCAGGTGGTTTGGTGTTTTTTTCCAAAAATAAACCTCAGGATCAACCCTGAGGTTCTTGGCTCCCATGGCCCCCAGTGGGAGGTGATGTCATTTCCGGGCTCTCAGGCACGGAAGAGAGCCACACCTGAATTTATCCCACTTATGCTTGAGGTTTGCAGAGGCAAAGAGAGCTGCCACAATAGGTTTTACCTCATCTGTCAATACTGGTTACAACGTAGGGCCCGGCACGGTAGCCTAGCAGCTTAAGTTCTCACCTTGTATGTGCCAGGATAATCCCGGTGGCCTTGCTTCCCCTCCAGCTCCCCGATTGTGGCCTGGGAAAGCACTTGAGGATGGCCCAAGGCCTCAGGACCCTGCACCCACACAGGAAACCTGGAAGAATCTCCAGGTTCTTGGCTTCAGATTGGCATAGCTCCGGCCTTTGTGGCCGCTTGGGGAGTGAATCAATGGATGACATTTCTCTCTCTGTCCTTCCTGGTCTCTGTATGTCTGACTTGCCAATAAAAATAAAATAAATCTTTAAAAAAAAAATTGGCTAAAATGTAAAGAATTTGAGGGGTTCCATCTTACTGCAGTAACTGTGGTGACTGATTAGTGATGTCTGCCCTGAGCACAGAAGTAGGCAGCAATGGTAGGGGTGCTATGTTTAGGCCATTTCTGCTCATGGCCGTTCCTGACCATGAGCCAGTGTCAAGTCACTTAGCATGGGTGCAAAACAAAGGACACTTGAGAGGTTGGCTTGTGTGTGAAAGAGGAGGAAATCAGTCCAGCATCGCTTTTGGGAAATACTGCATCCGGTCATTAGAGGTAAGCTCTCTGCAGTCTATGCTCACCAAGCTTAGAGACATCAGCGACAAGGACCACCTTATGGCCCTTAGGGATGGGAGAATGAAGGAGGTTTTTGAGGGTCTAGGGTCTTTTGCTAGCCAGAGAAACTCTGGCCTATCTGGGCCCAGCCCCTAGGGCCCTATGACCTGCCACATACTTAGAGTGAGCTCCTGGCCCAGTCCAGTGCACCTACTTGCCACATTCTTTGCAGGGGAAGATGGTGGTGGGGTCTGTTTCACCACTGGTGGTGCTGTGAGAGGGTGAGCTCTTCACCGAGCAGTAGCCGCTCTGGGCTCCCCCAGGCTTCTGCTTCCCAGAGGGGATGGCACCCCGAGCTTTGGTCACCTGGTTGGTGCCGCCATGGATGCGAGCGTGGCCATTGAGGGCCTGTCGAGAGCTGAACACCTGGGGAAGAAAGGGAGTGACATGACATCTACAGTCCTGAAAAGGAAATTAGGGTTATTAGTTACTGAGTGACAAAACAGGGGAGACCTGACAGTGTCTAATGAGGGGCCAACCTAAGGCAAATGTCTCCATTTGTAATAAAGCTCCTTCATCACGGCCACAAATGCCGTGCCCAGAAGAGCCTTGTGGCTATTACTGCCAGGCAGTAAGAGGCAACCTGGCACAGCAGGCAGGACGAAGTTGCCATCTATAAGTCAGGGAGATAGATCCGTCATTGCCAACAAAGAGGCTGTTGGGCCACTTCCCTTCTGTACCCCAAGGAGGGGGCTGGACCTCATTTTATGCTTCCCTCCCTCCCTCCTTCTTACCTTTTTTCCTCCCAGCCTCCCCCCCGCCCACCCCCTTGAAACAACAACAAATCAGCAGCAGCAGCAACAACAACAACAACAACAACAACAAACCAGGTCTTACTCAAAGCTGCAGTGCTCTGGCTGAAGGTGAGGCAGCACCCTCTTGCTCTGCTCCATCTCCTCCCTCCCCAGCACCCCAGGGAGCACACTCTGAAGAAGCTATTAGGTTCCCTGCTGTGTCCCACAAAACACGTTCAGGCTCCACTGACTGGCAGCCTGTGGCTGGAGCGATGTCTGACCTTTCTGCCGTCTAACAGGGAATGATACAAGGAGGCAAGCACTGGCAGTTTTCAAAGCCCGCCAGGACATGGGTTTTTCAACCTCAGTACTAAAGACATTGCGGACTTCACTGTGTGGGACATGAAGAGGTGGGACTCCAACCCACCAGATGCTTCCCAGGAGCATTTCCCCATAAGTGACGTTGCTAAAGGTTATGGGGGGGGGGTGTTAGTTACCCTCAGTTCAGAACCACTGCTGTATGGGTGGGTGACGCACACCCCTCATTCCAACATGACAAAAAGTGGCTGGCTGAACTCAACAGCCAAAGGGAACACCCATCAAGCTACTGAGGGGCCACTCTAGGTCAAGTCCATAGCTCTTTTATTGTCTTATGAAGAGAAAACCAAAAAAACCATGCTGTCACTGATTTACCAACCAAAGTTAAGCCAGCAGCAAAACCAGCATGCTTCCTACTCTGATCTTTAGTCATTTGAAACTATCTATATAGTTATAGTGGGCACAGACTAGAGCATCAGTCTGGGCTGAGAGTTTCTGATGATTGAAGTAAAAAATGACCTCCCTCTTAGCAAAACATTTACTACACATCCCCAACTATGACTGGCAGAAGCGTCCAATTTTTGAACCAATTCACCAGGCAACACTGTCATTTATAAATTGCACCTTCATCATTCCTGGAGGAAAGCACGCTGCACAAAGGCGATGATGAAGAGGCCAGGTCAGTGGGCAGTGAAGGCAGCTACCAGCCAACAGTGTCTCCCCGTCTCCTCAAAGCTCACAAAAAACGCCTATCTCTAGTTTTCCTTTTCTCCCCCTTCAGTGCACATCAAGTGAATTCTTGCCTTAGGGCAAGAATATTTTTAAAGACAATTGCTTTCTTAATCTAGTTGACACTTGGTAAAAGTGTTTGTTACAGCCTGGAAAACAATGCTATTCTACGGAATGTGTGGGCACAGACAAGAGCATCAGTCTGGGGCGGTACTTGTAGCATCTATCTACATATGTGTACCCAGCTTTAAGAAATCTGACTTGGGAAGAGCTCATCAATTCAGAACATTCAGGGATAAGAACAAGACTCAGCATCCTTTAACATACACATGGCCGGTGGGGTGGCGTGGGAAGCATTTGACAGAACGGTTAAGACATCCTGTACCAGAGGGCCTGTGTGTGTGCATCCTGGCTCAGCTGCAATTACTACGAGGGCAGGACTTGTTGTATGCCCTCTAGCCTGCAGTGTGGCACGCAACATGGAACACACACCATTAAGTGATCAAAGGCCACACAGAGGAAGGCTGGCACCAGGGTGTCATTTTTCAAAACACACCATTTCTTAAAGCTGGGCACAGCTTGTCCCTGAGACCCTAGCTTGTCCCGGATGCCCTACAAGCTCCATGGAGGCACTTACGGCTCCGCAGTTGGGCATTTCACAGATGAAAGAGCCTGGTGGCTGGCCAAGGGCCTGTAGGGGTGGCCCCTCGGTGGGAGCCAGGATGGGCACCGGTGGGGGCTCTGGGGTCTTCGGCACTTCAGTCTCCTCTTCTTTCGTGGATTTCCTATCTTCTTCCATGTCTTCCTCCTCCTCCTCTAACTCTTCTTCTTCTTCACTCGTCTAATGACAAGATATAAGAGCAAGAGGGGAAAGTCCCCCACGATACTGTTAGTGACTAACAGAACTACAGGCCAAGACAGGAGAGGGGCTGGCTGTGGGGCAGCTGGGTCCTTTTCTTTCTGCAACAGCAGCCCATGTGTTTCAGCTTCTAAAAGAATAGTGTCCGGACACATAATTTTGAAATGTTCAGAAAGTTCTTGTGTTCCATTTTGGGTTGCCCTCATCATTTCTATCAAATTACGCTTGTAAGGGCTGGCACCATGGTATTATAGGTTAAGCCTTCACCTGTAGTGCCAACAACCCATATTGGTACCAATTGGAGTCCCAGCTGTTGCACTTCCAACCCAGCTCCCTGCTAATGGCCTGGGAAGGCAATGGAGGATAGCTCAACTCCTTGAACCCCTGTACCCACATGGAAGACCCAAGATGAAGCTCCTGGCTCTTGGTTTCAGACTGGTCCGCTGAGGCTATTTGGAGAATGAACCAGTGAATGGAAGATCTCTTTGCAATTCTGTCTTTCCAAATCAAAATAAACCAAAAAACCATTTTTTTAAATGCCTTGCAGGCAGAGGTGGGCATCTGTCCTAGCTTGTTCATGTTCCAGTGACAGTGCCTGGGTTGGAGTTCCAGCTCTGCCTTCCCCTCCAGCTTCTTGTTAATGCACTCCTTGGGAGACAGCAGGTGATGGGTCAAGTAGTTAGGTTCCTGCTATCCACATGGGGGGACCTTAAATTGAGTCCCTAGTCCTTGGCTTTGGCCCGTTCCCAGCTGCTTCACGCATTCTGGGGAGAGAATAAGGTGGGAACTCTTTGTTCGCACCACAGATAACTTTTTAAGAATATGGCCAGGCAGAGAGGAGAACTTTCTCAGTGTTGTCTGAGCCATCAGGCCTTGGAAATGGCTAACATTTAGGCAAGTCGGCCCTGCCTGTCTCCTCCCAGCAGTGAGGCTTTTTAAGCCTTTGCAATACTGTGAAAACCCCTCAGGGGAGAGACTAGAGACCTAGAATGATGCATTTTGCAGGCTGATAAGACATTCAACTGGAGGTGTGCCTGCTTTGCCCAGAGCACAAGGAAAGCACGTGTCATTCTTGCTCTGCTCTTGTTAGAAAGCAGAATGAGAGGTGACTTTCTGCCACTGTTCACACGCTTTTGCTTTTGTCTCTGATCCCTGGCTGAGTGAGAGCAGGGTGTTGGGGACTTCTGGGTATTCCTCTTACTCCTTGAGTGCCATTTTAAGAAAACCAAATTGTACGAAGAATTTCCTCTCTGCTAAGATGTCCCGTCTTCACATCAGAACAAGCACATGGAAAATGCAGCTGAAGGTGCCTGCCTTCCTTAAGGGTAACAAAACAGCTTGGATGGGTTGCCTGGGACAGGAAGCAGGAATCCAGGAGGATCTTACTTAACGACAGTAGGTCACCAGGGGAACGGGCTCCAGGACATCCCTTTATGTAAAATGGTAGATAACTTAATGCATGTCCTCCTACATACTCACGTTATCATCTTTAGACTGCGTACAATTCCCAATATGAGCATTATGTAATCAATATTTCCCTGGGTTTTAAAGGAAATAATGACAAGAAAAAGCCTATACATGTGCAATACTTGGGTCATGATCTTCCAAATCTTGGTGGAATTCACGGGTGCTCAATCTGCGGACATGAAGCCCCACTTTAACTTCTGTTGTTTCATCATTAGGGTGGGATGTGGGATGCTGGCTCCTGCAGGCCCAGGAAGGGCTGAGGACCAGAGGAAAAAATTCTAGATTTTAATCCCCTTATTTCATGTTACAGTTTGCAAAGTGCTTTCATGTGTATCATGTCATAGAGTATGCGGTCAAGTGTGCTGCTATTTTACAAATGAGAAAACGAATGGTACGTCCCGGGGCCTACATTGCATAGCAGGTTAAGTTGCCATCTGCAATGCTACAATCCTGTACGTACACTGGTTTGAGTCCCAGCTGCTTCACTTCTGACCTATCTCCCTACTAATGTGCCTTGGAAAGTAGCAGAAGATGACCCAAGTCATTGGGCCTCTGCCACTTAAACAGACCCAGATGAAGATCATGACTTTGAACTGGCCTACTCCTGGCTATTGCAGCAATTTGGATAAAATATCTTTCTCTGACTCCCCTCGCCCAGGTCTTTCAAACAGACAAATCTTAGAAAAACAGAACAAAACAAAAGAGAATGGTGCAGTGTGTACTGCTGCTTCTCCACAGCACAGGTTATTTGTGCCAGGCCCTCGTCATACACCCATTGCAGTGAGCTACTGTCTGCTTTTCTCCCACCAGTGACATAACTCTAGATGAGTCTATGACTGTTGGAACCTATGAGGAAAGAATTTCTAAGAAGACAGGCTGCAGAGAGCAGTGGAGCCCAGTGGGATCCTGTGATCCAGAAATCACAAGTTTCCCTTCTCTGGTCTGGCTTAGGGAGGGGCTGTGACTCAGTCCTCTCTTCCCACTGTATTGTTCACGTGTAACACCACATGTGTACGTTTTTGAGAAGATGCATGAAAAGGGCATGTTTAAGAAATGGTCCCAGTTTCCAGTAGGTTGATTTAATCATCAACAAGGGTGACATGAGCAGGAAGGCCTTCATGAATACAGATGTGGCCCTAATCCTCCATTTTGCAGACTGCTTTATTATACAGGCCACAGGCCTCTTGCCACTGTGGAACATGCAGGATGACTTCACATGGGTGGCCTTATTCCTGTGGGAGCCTCCCATCCTTTAATCCCAAAGAGAGCTTCGAGGAAAACCATCTTATATCAAACTCCAAAGGTATGGTACCAGCAGTCACTCTGTGGTCTTAAATGGCCTGTAGTTTGGCATTGAAAATGAGTTACACAATAACCTTCAATGACAATAGTATTTGTTTCATGGTACCTGCAATCAATCTCACAATGACATCCTTGGGCTGAAGAACTCTGAGCAGTAGCATTCTCTACTGCCCACAAATTACACCTTACAGTCTATCCTACTGTGACTACGTATGTCTCAAGAGTTAGACAGGTTTTATTTCAACTGGCAATCTACAAGCATTCATAAAATGATTTATCACCAAGCATTATGGCTCACCAGAGTGACTAAGAGATACAGAGATAGGAGGACAGAAATTCTAACATGTAGAATTTTGCATGAACAAGTTGACCATTTTATGATACACTGTGAAATCAAAAACTGGGTGATATTCCAAGAGACAAGGCTTTTCCCTTTCTGATCCAGCTCCCTGCTAATGCATTTGGAAAGCAGGGGAAAATGGCCCAAGCATCTGAGCCCCTTCTACCCAGGTGTGAGACCTGGATAGAGTTGCAGGCTTTAATACAACACAGGAGATGTGATCAGCTGCCAGCTGATTCCAGCAGGCCCAAAGGACAGGCAGCCAGGACCATTTCATCGGACCGTGCCTCTCGCACCCTTCTCTAGTCGTTGCTTGATCCTAGTTTTTCATCTGCATGTGGTAAGTCATTATCAGGAGACTAAGTGTGTACAGAACACCCATGAGGGAGCTGGGAGTTAGCTTGCTGGCCCCATGTCAAGGTTTTCTTGTTTTTGTGGGCCTGAGTCATCTTAACTTCTATGCTTTCTGTTTTCTTAATTTCACAAGGGATGAGGGTGTGGATGCTTCTGCCCTAACCAAACGCTGGCTCCTGATGAACAGATCCAAGCAAGTGTGGCCCCTTAGGCATCTTAAACTCTTCAATGAGGCTGGCCTGTGACTACCTAAACACCTTCAAGGCTCTGTCAACCCATGGGGTGACATTTTGCCCTGGTCATGTTCAGCTTCCCTGGCTCTCAGAGGGAATGTTTTTGGGACACATAAGGACTTTCCTTGGGACTTTTTCCTTATTCACTCAACAAATATTTACCAAGTGAGCACTGGGTGGGAGGGAGTGTCTCTGAGGTTGGATCAAAGAGTTTCCGGTTCTCATTTCATCCTGCTTTTAAACTTTTCATTTACATTCTATGTTGTGTCATCCCACCTGGCTAGTGAGGGAAGCTGAGACAGAAGTCATTTATCTTTCTCGGAGGCCCACATCACCCATGTTGCTGCTTACATTGCAAGAACTTAATCGCTTTTAGTGAGCTGAAGCACAAAACCCTACATGAAGCCAGAGATGAGCAAAAGGCTACTCTGATACAACTATTTAAGCCACACGAAAGCCCTGATTCTCTTCTGATGAAAAAAAATGGCAGTGAGTGTAGGTGATCCGGCACAGCACAGTAAGCCCTGCCTTGAGACACCTGCACCTCCTATCAGCATGCCTAGAAGAGAGTCTTTGCTGCTCTTCCAGCTTCCTGCTAACGTGCACCCTGGGAGGCAGATGATGATTTAAGCACTGTGTTCCTTGGCACACATGTGAGAGACCTGAACGGACTTCCTCTCTCCTGGCTTTGGCCTGACCCAGCCCCAGCCATTGTGGGCAAGAGAGTGAACCAGCGTATGGAAGATTGCTCCCTGTTGCCCGTAAAAGAACAATAACAAACCAAACAAACACACAAAACAAAAAAACCCACTATCATTCTATTTCTGTTTTCATTTGTTTTGGTCTTGGGGGCTCTGACATACATTTATATAAGTTTGTACATTTCATAGTGATGATCTTAAGGTTTGAAGCATGAAATGAGCACTGGTATTTTCATACTCCTCTACAAGAATTTGCATTTCACTGGTCTTGGGGATGACATAAGGGAATAGGCTGAGACAACACATTCTCCAGCTGTGTGACCACAGTCTAGGCAAGCTGTGGGTCTCAGTTTCCTAGCTCCTGGAATTGGCAGTAAGTGAATGAAATTGGACTTAATGAGTCAATATTTGTCAAGAGTCTGGCACAATGCCTGGCACATAGAAAGTGCTATTTAAGTGTCTATTAGAGAAAATAACCCACACATGTGCTAACGCAATTGGGAATGAAAATATCATTACAAATATTCACATCATTCACAAGTTCCAAAAGCTTTTGTTGATGGTGATGGAGAGTAGAGTTGAGTCATTTGTTGTAAGACATATGCACATGTGGTACCAAGTATGAGAGGGAGATTTATCCTGGCTAGGGATGCAGAGACGAGTTAATTACAAGGCTCACAGGTGCCAGTCATCAGCAATGCCACTCATGGGATCTAGAGACTGTTTTTTTCATCTTTTTATATCTTTAGAGGCTATTGAATCTTAGCATACACATGATTTTAGATGGTCTGTTGATGAAACAAACCAATGCCAGGGACAAATGGTAATGACTAGAATCAAACGCTCCCCACTCTCTAGTTCCTCAGCAGCTGAAGGTACTGGCACTACCTAGGGGTCAAAGCTCCTCCGCACTCCTGCTTTACAGAGGTGGCAAATATCCTAGCACACCTTCTTCTTTCTGAGGGATATCATGGTCTCTGGTCAGTAGCACCTGTGATAGGAGAGGACCAGGAAGGAATATTCCACAGGGTTAGGACATCTGCTTATTAACCAACTAAGTCAAGACTGGGACTTTACTGGTTTCACTCTCCTATCTCCTAATTGCCCTGCAAGGCTGGCAACACTGGGCTACAGGTTTAGCCCAACAATGTCCTCCTTCTGTCTATACCTGCAACTCAAGTCCTGTATCTGACATGGGAGCCAGGCCTCTGTTACTCACTTTGCTGTAACTCTCTGGCTAGGTCCTCAGCAAAGCCAAGTCAAACACTAGCCACTGACATACCTGGGTATTGAGTGGGAATAAGGCCAGCACACTTCACAGCTTCACTCACCATGCAATCATCAATGATTTCCGCTAGGCGTGTCCGGTGCTTCCGCCCCAGTCGCATTATTTTTTTCCATGTGTAGTAGTACTCCACACACTGAGCCACAGTCTTGGACTTCACCTGCCAGCAAAGTGAGCTCAAGATTACCTCTAGTGGTAGGCAATGAGCAAAGGATTCTATAAGCTTCCATGAACACTTGATCTTATAGCAGGTATTAAATAGGTTTGTACAGTTCAGTAAAACTACTTTGGAAGACCTCCTTGCCACATCTGTTCTCAGTTTCTATCTGTGCCACTCAGGTAGCTCCCGGCATGGATTTCTTTAGTTTCCTTCAGAAACTTTTCATGCACATATCAACGAACACAAAAATATGTTCTGCATCCTCACGCCATGTCCCCTTACATATGGCAGCTCTAACTACCAATCTGTAACTTGACCTCCTTTTCACACTATAGTCAAGAGATTTTCCTTACACCTTATTCCTTTTGGTTTTAAACCACGAAGCTGCTTTTTCAGTTACTTCAGTGTTTGAACATATTTTGCTTTCTGACTTGTTGGCTTTCAAGTATCTATTATGAACAACATTCCCTAGCAATGGAATAGGAGGATAAGGCCAAAGTTATGATGACATAGCTTGTGTTTTGCAGCAAACAAGCTGTGACATGTTCACTCCCAGTGAGGCAAAGGTATATTTTGCTATTTTAAAGGAAATTTCCCTTTGATTATTTTCCCACATCTCTATCAGTTCAACAACGTGAGGTTTTGCAGGACATTTAAAGGCTGACTATCTGTGGCAATGGGAACATGGATACCCACGCAGCGAGATGAGGCTGCCCCTAGAGTGACAAGCTCCTGTAATTCCTCCCTTCACATCTACTTGAATCTTCCTAGAGAGGGAGGATCCGATCCCAGAAAGGCCTTGTTTTAAAAACTTGCATTGCCTATAACATGACTCTGTCATGGGTCACCTGAGTGTGAGACCATTAAGGAATTAGACCTTGGCCAGTCAGTCCTGGGGGGAAGGAGACAGTAGGTCACAGACTGGGGGATGGTGGGGCAACCAGGATGGGGCAGCAAGATGTGGTAGCCACAAAGGTAGTGGTAAACACTGGGCCAGAGACAAGTCAGAGACAAGCTCTCTTCCTTCAGATGCTTGCCCAGACACGACCCTGGATTAAGGATAGGAGACAACACACCATCCTCAACACCACTGAGGACCAGCAGCAGCCAGAGGGAGCTGCTGCATGTGACCCCATTTTCTGCAGAACTCAACATGCTTAATGATCCTAATATAATACAACATGGTTCCATCATTTTGCCAGTTTGTCAAGATCCTCTGAATTACTGTTAACACCTTAGCCTAAATCACCTCTCAGCCAATTAGAGTCTAATGTTTATCATGTTATAAAAAGTGCTATTTCATTCACAAGAGCTTTATTCTGTTTTAAAATGCTGATTATGTATGGTGTTTTTTAAATTTTTTTTTTCATTTTTAAAAATTATTACTGTCATTCTGATTAGGGGCCCAACACCTGGAACTCTACAACAGTGGAACAAGAGTTGGGAGGCTGTGAGTTCTCCCTCCATAATTTCCAGAAAAAAATCAGGAAGAAACATGACAAAGTTTCAAATCTACACAAAGTAAACTACGTTCGTGGTGAACTAAAGCTCCAGTTCTAAGTCATTACAGAATTAGGAATTACACATTTTTATGGAGATACAACCCTCTAAACCCGAGGTGGGATCCAAAACACTGAGGTCCTCTTTCCTTCTGTCCTCTTGCCCACCCTACACAACACTGGGCTGTGCTGCTCTGGAACCATGATCAGACTTCACAACCTTGGGGAAGGACCTAACACTGCAACCAAATATTCCTGAATATTTTTTAGGTGTACACACTTGCCAAATTTAATCTCAAGGAAGCAAGAGGGGAAAAAAAAAAACATGCTTACCATCTTTTGTACAAAAATAAAGTCTTTGCTGTAAGTGGCTAGTGCTTTATTAAACAGTTTTCTTTCTAGAGATGTCCACTTGTCCGAACCTACAAGGAAATAAAACTTTGTAAGAGCAGCTCATAGTTCTTGTTATTTTTTTGTCACTGGTTCACAATTTAAGCTACAAAATATAACTATCTAGCAAATGATACACTACATATCAAACGCTTTTGAACAAAAAGTCAGTGCAGTACAATGATGAACAGGCCTGAGAGCTGGGTTCAAGTTATTTTATCCAAGATTCAGTTTCATTACCCACAAGCAGGAGTAATAGCATTTCTGAGAAATCTTAAAGATATAATACACAAAAAAGTACCCAGTCTAATAATTGGGAAATTATGAGCAGTCAATAAATGTCAGCTGCAGTTTTTACATAATTGTTATAGTTATCAGCATAAGTATTCACAGAGCAAGCTCTCCGCAGGATGTGGATAGTCTACCTGCATCCACCCACAGTGCTCCCACTGTAGCAGGGACAAGAGTGGCAGACCATTGGGTTCAAGGTGATAACTACAATTATGAAGGTAAATATAAAGCAATGGAGCAGCACGACACTTAAGGTGAGCATCAGGGCAGCAGGGAAAATCTTCAGGTAGAGAAAAAAATCTCAGTTGAGTAGCATCCCCCTAAGATTTATGTTTTAAATTTATCTGAAAGATATATACTAGAAAGAGAGAGAGAGAGAGAAAGAGAGAGAGACAGCTCTTCCATCACTGGTCTACTCCCCAAATGGCTGTAATGGCTGGGGCCAGGCCAAAGCCAGGAGCCTGGAATTCCATTCAGGTCTTCCATGTGGGTGGCTGAGACCCAAGTATTTGGGCCATCTTCTGCTGCTTTCCCAGGCATATTAGCAGGGAGCTGGATCAGAAGTAGAGCAGCTAAGACCTGAATGGGTGCTTATATGGGATGTCCACATTGCAGGTGACAGGCTGCACCTCTCTGGTTGTGCCAATTACAGCAACAGGGAGGGGAGCAGGGGTTGGGGCCTTGGAGAAGCCTTGCCTTAGGGAATGGGAGTGGAAAGGGGCTAGTAGTATTTACAGCTTGAGAGCAGTTCTGTCATGACTCTTCAAATTTTATCCAATATTCAAGGCCTTAGGGACCCAGCTTCCAGATGCTCCCCCTCACCCAGGAGCAGAGGCAGACAGAAAGGATTAACCAACAAGTTAGCTGACCAACCATCCAGTAGTCAGGGCTTCTTTTAGGTATCTGTCAAAATAGCAGGGATAAAAGGCATTGGAAAGATAATGATGGAAGATCCTGATGGTGACCGGGTTACTTGCTGAATCCTACAAGCTTCAGCAGGAGGAGGTGTCAGGGCACACTGTACTGATGAAACTCCCACCTAAGCAATGACACTAAGTTTCCTGAGTTAGAGGACAGCTGTAAAATCTGGTGAGACACTAACAGGGCCACCCTGCCTTTCCAGGCCAGGACTGTGTGAAGCTCCTGGGTCTGCCTACTTCTGAGAAGCATTTCCTGACACGTTTCCAGGTAGCTGGCTGGGGATGGGTATTTGGTGCAGCCATTAAGACATCCCTTGGAACACCTGCAACCCATATGGGAGTGTTTGGGTTTGAATCCTGGCTCTACTTCCAACTCTAGCATCTTGCTAAGGCACACCTTGGGTGGCAGCAATGGCTCAAGTGCTTGAGGGAAACCTGGGTTGTGTCTCTAGCTTTAGCCTGAACCAGACATTGTGGTTATGGGCATTTGGGGAGTGAGTCAACACATGAGAAATCTTTCTTTCAAATCAACAGAAATTCATGATTATAAAAAGGGATCCTGGCATGATGGCTCAAATGGCTAATCTTCCCTTTGCAACTGCCAGCATCCCATAAGGGTGCTGGTTTGTGTCCTGGTGGCAAATCCTTCAGCGATTCACAATGGAGCTAGTCTATTGGTCATAGGACTGCTGCTGGGGCTTGAGGCTCCACCCCAGGGCTCTTGGACTGATTTCCTAGGACTAAGTCTGTTACACACGAACCACCCTGAATGTGCTTTCCTCAAATACTCTCAACAGGACTATGACCAAAAAAAAAAAAAAAAGAAGATTTAACTCCATAGCCAAGTCAACCTTGCTTTCAGTGTTTCCTTCCTAGTGACACGGGGATGGTGGCAGTCATGCTATGGCCGACAGAATGTGGTCCTGCCAAGGTGTTCTATAGGTGGTTTGCATATTCACTGGCCACTCCACCTCAGCCCTGGGCTACACACACACACACACACACACACACACACACACACACACACACGCTCTCTCTATCCAGGTGTGCACAGTGGCACTCAGGAAGGCCGTTGCGCTGTGAGTGGTCCTTGCTTTGTGAATTTCTAATCCTATAGTAGGTCTGTTGGCTGCCCACAATTTCCATGGTCTTCTACTCACTTCCCCTTGCCATCCCCTCCATAATCCCAAATCAAAAACAGGCTCAGGTGTCTCCTCTTTGAAAAACGTCTGACACCTTGAAGGTCTAAGCCAGTCCTTGGCTTCTGCGACTTAAGAGCAGGTCCAGGATGAAATGCCAAATAAAATGCCCACCCATGGCTGCCTCAAGTCCTCCCCTCTCCTAAGACCCCTGCTGCCAGGAGGTGCACACGCAGGGTCCATGAGCTTACACGCCCCTCCCTCCCACACTCATTTGTTCTACCTGAGGATGCCTGGCTACAGGGCTATTATCAGCAGGGGCCCCTAACAAGCCGATTAAGGCTAATTACAAAGAGCCTAATTAACTGGATGAAACCGGTGCTGGAACAGTATCCAGAAAAGAAATATTCTGCGCTGTGGTTGCTGGGAAACAGGCTGTGGACTGTGGCTAATCTTGAGGCAATCAACAGTGAATCCCAACAACTGAAAGGGGAGAAAGTTTCTCTCTCAGAGGGCCTTTTCTCCTTTGTGGATATTTAAGAACTTTTATTGATATTTGTTATTGCAGTTACCAAAAAAGATGTCCCTTGTAACAACAACAACAAAAAAAGGGAGTGTTTTTACACCAGATTTTTGTTTCCACTTAGGCTGTTTCATAGTGAAAGATGGCAAGGTAGGGAGCATTTTTTCTTTTTAAAGGGAACTGCCACAGTTCCTCTGGAGTAAAAAAGCGAGGGAGGTTTTTCATCTAAGTTCTGAGTTCTAAGTGGCCTAGCTAAGCTTGCACATGAAGCAAGAGAGCAGTGTTAACTCAGTTCCTGCCCTTGAGAGGGGCCCGTAGTTCAGCCAGAGACACGGGCTAAGGATGCCTGGAAGGTGAAATCACAGCTGTGTGTCTTGTGGAGCATTCTCTGGAGTACCGAAGCGTTTCCTCATGAAGCCGGGGCCAAGTCCAAGGCCGACACCAGGCTTTCCTAGTAGAAAGGGCATGTCCTCCACACGCCTCAGCTCCAGAGGGGAGAACAATCTTTCAGAGGTGGGATCCCACGTAAAGTGCTGCTGAACCCTTTGCAGAGAAGCCAGGACTGGTTCTTATGCCCCTATTTCACCCTTGCGCCCATATGCAGAATAACCAAGTAAGGCCTCTGAATCACAGCCAGGCGTTCTTCCCAGCCCAACTTGTCCACACCCAGTCCTTCCCCACCCAAAGCAATGCTTAGAACCACAGCATACAACTGCTGAGCACACAGGGGTGGAGGGCTGCTCAGGGAGGGACAGAAGGCTAGACCGGAGAGCTGGGCTGAATGGAGTACTGGGAGCCAAGGACGGGACTTCACTCTGAGCATCTTGTGTGGGGCTTGCCTGTCTTTGGCAAGCAACCCTTGATGTAGGTGGATCACCTAGCCCATGAGTCTCCTCATTGGTTATGTTTTCCCCTGGGTTCCATCATTGGCCACTTTTCTTGCAAAGAAAAAAGGCATTGGGGCCTTTCTCTTGCAAAATTGCTTAGGTTGGAGTGGGAGAGGGAAGATGATGAGAAAAGCAAGGACAGGTTTTCACTGGCCCGTGTCTCTAATCTTTACCAAACTTGCAGCCCCCTTCCTGAGCCCAATCTTGCAGGCAGGATGGACAACACTGGCCACAACCACAGATCTGGGAGTTAAAGTGAACCAGAAGGTGGCCTCAGCGCCAAGGCAGAATGGGGCCACAGGGAGATGTTCTGACACACAGGAAACACGTAAGCGATGAGGGTGGTTGACAAGTCCAGGAGAGAGGCGTTAGCTGGGCCAAATGATGGGGTGGACTCTGCTTTCCCTCCTGGGGCCTGGAAGGGAACTCTGGCATGCACATGGGTCAGACTTCAGACACCAATGATCTCTGCCCCCTTTTTGCTCATAGTTCCAGAAAATTCTACGGGGCCCAGCCTGCAGTTGCATCCTTGAAGACACATGACTGTCAGACATAAATGAGCCCCCTTCTTGAAGAACATCAGCCCTTCACCCATCAGCCCCACCTCTCTCGCCTCCAGGGGTTGAAACGATTTCACAGAGCAGCTGTGGGTATATGACAGAGGCAAAGGGATTAGCCAGAAACTTCCAATCCCCAAAGAACAATTCATTGTAGCAGCTCTTGGAGTCCTCTGGTTTCAAAGGTTTTACAATGTGTTAGTTTTCTGTAGTGTGTGGGAGGGTGGCTCCTAGTTTTCCAAAAAATTTTTAGGTCATGACACATGCTGGGGACAACTATTGGGGAGTGAAGTTCCAGAGGAAGCTGCTCACAGCTGGAATGGACACATCCAGAATCTCTAGCTGCACCAGGAAGGCCAATGACTGAGGGCAGCCACGTCTCAGAGCACAAGGTTGGAGAGCTCCTCTCAGCCAACCCACTGTCTCATCTATGCATGGTGCAGGGGAGCTTGCAACAGGCTTCAGGAGGATGGACAACCTGTGAGGGTATTTAATGGGCATCAAATGATACTGGGAATTAAAAGACAGTTCCCACGGCAGATTACAGAAAACTCTCACATCTTTCTCTGCACACAGGGCAGACACCAGGCAGGAAATGATAGAGACAATATGGAGAAACGGGCTCCATGAGGGTCCCCCGCTAAACGATGTACTTGTTCACTCAAACATCCATGTTGTGCCCGCTTAATTGTGGCAGTTGCTGTGGGCTGCGAGTGACCCACGGGAAAATCATGTTTTCTTATAACTGAACAGAAACAGCTGTATTAGTAATATATGCCATCTTTATAGAGATAAACCCCTTCAAACCTTCCTTCTGCCTCGTTGGCTTAAAAAAAAAAATGCTACAGGCAGCCGGGAGCAGCAGAGGGTTTAGGGGCAAAACAGCATCCAGAATCTTGCTGTTCCCAGTGGGGTCCTCAGCCCAGTAGCACCAACAGACAGCCGTTTCACCTCTTGATGAGAGGGAGGAAGGCCCACACAGGAGAGCAAGAGAGCCACAGGAAGTGAAGCAAACTGTGTGTGGTATCTCACAGAGAATGTGCCAGCACCTGTAACAGTGCTCACCTGAGGCCACATCTGGCTGCCTGAGCCCATATCTGGCTGCCTGAGCCAAGACCTGACAAAGACCAGGTTCCCAAGCACCAAATTTTGCACCTGCCCAGGCAGAATGTATCTACCTAGTATCTATCGCCTGAGGTACCAAGAACGCTTCAAATGTTTACAAATCAAGAGGCACTGGAGGACTCTGCCCTCTCTGACATACAGAATCCAAGCAGGTGCATGTGTAGAGACCCTCAGAGGGGACAGTCTTGCCAGAGTCACTAGTAATGAGAATACTGACCCCAGCTCCATGTCACCTCTCTTTTGGCTTCCCAAGCTGTTTCTCTTGTTCATCAACACACTGACTCTGGGTGTACAGTCTTTCTCCCGTCATTAGTGCAATCTATTTAGTAATATCCATTTAGTAGTTGCCTCCTTCTCAAAACTCCAAGCTACAAGAGGCAGGACTATGTTTGCATCTGTCAGAGTCACTGCTGGTTTCACAGTGCTCTGTACAGTTCTTGGTATGAAGTCACATGCTAAGTAATAGTTAAAGAAATAAGTAAGAAAAGCTACTAGAATATGGCAGGCATTGGGCTATACAGGCTATTTCCAATCTCCACAAAACCTTGGTAGGGATGGATGGAATATCACTGTACCCTATCAGTAGCAAGGTTCTCAATACACTCCCCACTTTACAGGTGAGCAAATCAAGGCTGCAGAAGGACTTGACCAAGGGGATGTAGTCAAGAACAGCACCCCCAGTTACTGATTCCAAAACCAAGGGATTGGTGATGATTGTCGGTTTTGAGCTGTATCCCCTGAGATTCTTTCTTCTGATGCCCTCGTCTCACTGCTACATGGACCATCACTCAGGTCTTGCACACCCCCAAGGGAGAGGAGCTCACACAGACAATGACTATTAGACACAACTGCTGTCCAGCGGATGTGCCCCAGGAGGCCTTGAACTCACAAGTAACAATCAGGACAGATCTAGGTGTTAAGTGTTACAAAAAAAAAAAAAAAAAAAAAAAACAAAACGTGACACAGGCAAACATGCAAGCAGCCCACTTTCAGGAAACAAGGCAGCCCAGGGCTCCTGGCAACCTACCGGCATAGTGGTAATTTGCCAAGGGATGGCATTTTAACCTGACTGGCTTCCGCAGCAGCAGCATTTCCAGGGCAGCCTATAGAGGCAGGGGAGGGGAAAGACAGGAGTTAGTAACAGGCCTGTGTGTTCCAGGGAGACTAGCTGCCCAAGGGAAAGGGCCCAGGAGGGAAGGCATTGAAAAAAAAACCAGAGGCAGACCACCTGAACTGGGCTTTGTGTTCAGGGACCAGAGGAACTCATTCTCACATCCTCCTGCAGCCAGGCCTGAAGCCAGCTGGTCATGTCACAGAACAACACAGCCTACTGTATCAGTGAACAGAGATGGTGGCTAGCTTCGAGGCTTAGTCCCTGGGGCAAGGACCCGAGGAAATGAGTGGGTGATCACATGTTGCATCACAAGTGAACATAAGCAGCCGTATTAGTAATACATGTCATCTTTTCAGAGATAAAACCCCTTCAAATCTGTCTTGTTGGATTTAGGAAAAGGAAAAAAAACAGCGCAGGCAGTGTGGAGCAGCAGATGATTTAGGGGCTTAACAGGGCCTCGAATCTTGCTGTTTCCAGTGGGTTCCTCAGCCCAGCAGCACCAGCAGTGTCTGGGCCTCTCCCAGACTTGCCGACTCAGAATCTGCATCTTACCAAGATTCCACAGATGATTTGCGTGCACATTAAAACCTCAAAAAACAATACCCTGAAACACTGATCTCCAAGGGTTGAGGAAAGTTCTCCAAAATTCTCCAAACTACATGAAGGGTATTGTAGTACTAGGACATTTATTTTTTACAAGTTTATAAAATCAAAAAGCAGGAAGCTAGATGCATTTCTAGAAAGCGGAGACTGGGGCTCGTGTGGAGTGTTCTAGGCCTAAGTCCTGGTAGAACAGGCAGAATGTCAGATGGCACAAGGGCTCCAATGAAAGGGAGAAGAATGGGACCAGTTGGTGCATAGCAAACACTGAAATTTGGTTAGGGGAGAAAAAAGTTCTACCAACATTTCCATAGAAATGAGGCCTCATCAGCAGGATACACCAGGCTGTTTGTTTTAGGCCAACTCTGGTTCAGTGAGGGATTCAGTCTCCATCACTGGAGACTCAGTTTTCTGATGTGAAATACAAGATGGATGAAGAAGAAATTCTAATTTCCTAGGACAGGTGTGTCCACAACGATGACTGAGTAGCAGGTGTGTAAATAGAAGTCCGCCTAGTGACCTTTTTCTCGCAGGCTCTTATGTCTTGGGCTACTTGCTAAGTTAAAGAATAGGGAGGCAAGTTGATGGATCATCATCACATGCCTTGGTTGTATGGTACATGGGACAACAAAGAAACATGGGAAAAATACACAGCAGGATTCCAAGGGGGATGGCTTGCTTTTTCTTGGTTCCTTACCATCACATCACCTTTGGCCTCAAAGAGAGAGTGCAAAGCAAATTCAGAATTGGTCCCTCCACCTGGCAATGCACTGGAACAGCACAAATTCAGAAGATTCTCCACTGTTGGAAACACAGAGATCACTGCATCAGAGAGAGCTCAGTTTCATGGAAAACACATTAATGCTGGAGTGAGAATCGAGCTTCTCCTATTCTGCTCTTCCCATGGACCCATACCTCTTTGCTGAAGGTCATGGTTTTCCAACTCTGGCCAGGGCTTCCACACCAGTGTGGCTTTGTGTTTATCCTGAGCCAGGGAAGAGATGTCCTGGAGTTCTGGAATCTCTGCTTGGAATCTCAAGCCAATGTTGATGCGTCTTTAACAAAAAGAAGGAAAACAACAGTGGGGTTGTCAGTTGATGACTGAGGTGAAAGTAACCTCCAGAATCTTGAAACACAAGGAAGATGTTTTAGGAAGGAACAAAGGGACATTTTTGTCACAGTGTGACCCTGAAGTTCCAGGCATAGCCCTTTCCCTGGGAAAATGGACAGCTTTATGATTGAAGAAAGATGTTAGGAGGACTAAGAAGGCTGTCTGCCTGGGCCTTCTTAGCTTCCTGTGTCTGGGAGTGGGAGAATGGCAAATTCCAAGAGAATAGCTAGCTATTGAGAACATGGCCAATGGTACCATTTACAAGAATAAAAAGAAGGACAAATATAATGTGATAATCTATTTCTAAATCCCTTTTAGACCACTTTTGCCTCTTATCCCACCTGAGCCTCACGGATATCTACAATGTAATCCAGGTGATCATATAATTATTTCCATTTCATCTAAGTCAACAATAGCCTAGCAAGATAAATTGCATCAAGATCCAATAATAAAATGGTGTCAGAACCAAATCTGCTGATTCCTGAGTTAATCCTTTTTTGTGTTCATCTGTGAAAATAATCACTTTTCCCTTCCATAAAACAGTTCTCTAATCCTTGCTTTCAGTTACCTGTGGTCAATCAGCTTGAAAGTATTAAACGGAAAATTCTAGAAAGTAACAAGTTATAAATTTAAAATTGCATTCTATTCTGAGCAGAATCATGAAATATCACACAGCAGTCCGGTTCTAGATGTGAACCATCCGGTTGTCAAGAGTATCCAATGCTATTATATATTGCCTGCCTGCTAGCAAGGCTTATGTTATCAGATGGACTGCAGTATATAGGGGTCAGAATTACCTGAGGTTTCAGACATCCAGTAGGAGTTTTGGAATGTATCCTCCATGGAAAAGGGGGCATCACTGTACCTCCCACTGTATATGCATGATTGAATTACTCAACAAGTCCCTTTGGGAGACTGGAGATGAAAAGCAAGGACATCACCTCTGGGAGAGTACCCTAAGAGAAACACCTAAATGTCCATAAGGACGTGAAAGCACATGACTACGCACACAGCACACAGCACACAGCACACAGCACACAGCACCTGATGCTTTTACTGTGTTTAGTCTGGCAAAAGTCTTCCACTGGCAACCACAGCAAAAGCAAAGTACTCAATCATATCATGATTCTACAGTTCCCACACTGTCTCTCTCAAGGGCCATCCTGCCCCCTAGCTATACTTCTCAAAGCTCTGGATCCCTTTTCTGTTCTAGAGAACAATTGGGCTTTTCCTTACGGTTCAACATCCACGGTCTGTTCTCCAGGCCCTGGAGTGACTGTCACATTGTTGCCATCAATGCTGTCTGAAATACAAAAATGAGGGGTCAGGAGTAGCAAGGAAGGGCTTTAAAGACAGTAAGGCACATTTTTGATTACCTAACCAGTCCCTCCCCAATCGATGTCATAGGGCCCCCCAACAATTTTCAGGGACTGGACAGGGAGTGGTGCTAAATGGCCTATGGTTGCTCATGCATTTCCTGGAGTGAGGGGAAGCCAGCCCTCCTTTCACTCACACTGATCTGCTAAGCCATCTGGCTTCCATGCAACCCTTCTTGCTCTAGAGATACTGGCATAGGCATCTGTGTGAGTGGGTTTTATTAAACAGGCTACAATGCTAATGCTTGATCTGGCCTGTAGTAACAAGTTCAATCTGTCCATCGACTTAGGACATCTATTGGTATTAAGGATCAGCCAGGGGTCTCCTCCTTCCCAAGATGCTGGAGTGACCCCTTGATCCTTTGTCTCCTCAGACTGTGCTTCTTCCAAAGTGAGGATATGCAGATCTTCCAAAGGTTTGTGCAAAGTAACTACTACGAGCAGTTACATATGGCCCCCAAATCAACTGATCTTTGAATTCCATGACTCCCATGAACATTTCGAAGGGCCCTTCCATGGTTCATTCTAAGTATTTCTTAGCACATAGCTATGATCTACAAGGCACATGGCCCACATAGATAGATGGGGGTCATAAAAAAAAGCAAAGGCTCCCAGGACAGACAGATGCAACCCTGCCACCCCATTCCCACACCCTCTAAGAAGGCTTCCCTGACCCACTCACTGGAACGACACAGCAGCACCCGCGGTGTGGGCGTGAGGGGCGTGAGGGGCAGCTGCGGGTGGGCGCCGGTGCCGTGGCCGGAGATGAGGACGTTGCTGAAAAGCCCCGAGCCCTGGCGCACTGGGCTCAGCATGGGCGGCGGCGTGTAGGGGGGCAGCTCGTGTGTGGGATCGAGGAGCAGGTGGTCTCCGAGGACGCGCGGGGAGCGTAGTTGGCTCTGGTACAAAGTGGCGCCCGAGTAGGAGGCTGGGCTTGGGTTGTAAGAAGGTGGCGGCGGGATGAAGAGGGGCTCCGGCCGGTGCCGGAACTTTTTCTTCTCCTGCACCGTCTTGGGGGGCTCTTCCGGTTTCGGTGCTCCGGGTTGAAGCTTCCTGGGGATTTCCTGAAAGGGAAGGATGGGATTGGAACCCTTGGCTTCCACCACAGCGAGGAGGTGGGTGGGTGGGTAACACATTATTATCTCCACAGGCTTGGGGAAGCTGGGAGGGCTTCCATAGCTTCCCTTCCACTCGGCCCCCTCCCAGCCCACCCGGTCCTATCCACTTCAGGCAAAGCGGGTTCTGACGAGATCTTCTGGAGGCAGCCGGGGCATGGGGGTGTGGGGGGTGTGGTGGCAGAACTAGCTGGTGGGCAAGAAGCAAGAACTGGGGCCAACACCATTCCTGTCACTAACAACTCGTGCTCTGAGGAGGGAACTCAGGATTACTCAGGGAGCCTGGCAGTGGACGCGGGGCTGGAGACCCGGGGCACTGATGAGCTCTTCAGGCCCCTTCATTCCATGTGTTCTCCCTATGCAGTGGTCCGGGTCACTCTCTCCCTCCCCTCACTGTTACTCCCAGCTCCACTGTAGCAAGCCTAGGCCCTACTTCCTGTCAGCAATTCATTCAGCTGGCGGCAGCCCTGCCTCATGGATACATGGATACAACTAAGTAAACACGTGTGGGGGAACAGGAAGCAGGCACGCAGAGGTCCCTACTCCCCGCCCCACCCCACGCTGGGAGTGGCTGGCGCGGGGTACCTGTGGAGAGGGCCAGACCTGTCTGGGATGCTTTTCCAGGCCCTGATAGCCAGTGGCCAGTCACAGCCAGGGTCCCTGTGCCCAGGGGAGCTCGTGAGGGAGAGGCAGCAGGGAGTGATGGGAAGGGCTGGCTAGGGTCACGTGACCAGCTGCCTCCAGCCCATGTGACCTGGTCTAGTCAGCCCCTCACTGCTCTGCCTTCAGTACTTCCTGCTTCGCCCAACGCCTTCCAAAAGGTGGCCTCTCAGCCTCCAACAGGAGGAAGCATTAGGAGGTGGAGCAGCGCTGCTTCAGACGCTAGAGGTTCCTACCCGCTTTCTCAACAGGAGGCAAGCGCTCCTCAGGCAGCCTCAAGCCTGCCTGCCTCCTCTCCCCACCAGAGGGCTCCTGAGTGCCTGAAGCGGAGGTAGAAAGCAGGGGCTAAGGTAAAGAGGGCGTGGATGGGGAGCCATCCTGAAACCCAGCCAGAGAACCTTCTAGAAGCACCCAGAAGGTTCTTTAAGTAAAGGCTGCACTCTCGCTGGAACCCAGACTTGGGATCCCGGGGCCAAAATTCCCCCTAGGGGCTCTCCTTCCCCCACCTTGCTGAGCTGTGTTTGCAGCTCTAAATCCTTCAGGCCCGGCTCTAAAGAAGCCCCCCAGAATATCACATGTGCACCTCACTTGAGAACGCCAGCTCGAGTCCCACTTCACCAAGCTAGTCGGACCCCCAAAAGGAGGGGCTTTTTGAATTTTTGGCTCGCAGTGAAGGGCAGGAATCACTCAAGAGTCCAACCTCTTCAAGGTCAGGAGAAGAAAACTGGGGCTCTGAGATGGGGAGGGTCTCAGCGGCTCCATGCCCTGGGAGCTAGAGGCAGAGTTGGGATTACAACCCCAAGGCTCCTTCCCAGACAGCTTCTTTCCATGAGGTGCCAGGACCCTGCTCACCCTGACTCGGCCCCCCTGCAGGCCTCCACTTCAGCCAATCCCCTCCTTTCCCACTCCACTTCAGCCAGTTCCCTCCTTGCTGGCTCTCTCCCCCCACCCTTCTTTCCAAACCTTGCTCAGAAATCCTTGAGCAAACTCACATCAAAGCCCTGGCCTCTTCCATTCCCTAATCAGCACCCTCTGGGGCACACATTGCTCCTTTACATGCAATTGCATGGCGTGGTATCCCCCACAAACTCATCTGATGTTGAAACCATCCTTGGTCAAAATCAAATCAAACGCTCCTGGCCAGCTGTCATCCCCATCTTGGGAGTGTGTGGGTGCCTGGAAGCTGAGAGTCAAAGTTGCCACCCAACACCATGGAAAATATCCCAGGCCAGGAAAAGACCTGAATCCAGAATACGAGGTACAGCTTCCACAGAACTGCTTGTGCCCCATTCTAAGCAGAAAAATGGGCACTGGAAGCATCAAGTTCAGGGCCCATTTACATTCCCATTCAGCCGTATGCAGTCCTCATTAACATCTAGCATGGGTGGGGTATGCTATCAGGACCATGACCCCTGTTAACTAGGAGCACCTGATTGACAGTTCTCCATCAAATCATCAAAGTAGGGCCTTTCCTGGGCAGAGAGGGAGCCTGGACGTGTCATTTCCTGTCCACCTATTGCTGCCCAACCACAATGTGACCAGCCTACGAGAATCATCATCCTCACTAGTTTTCCATCAGTGTCCACTCCTGAGGCTCTGACATCACATCCAGAAGCATAAAGATTCTTTCTGGACTTTCCCAGTTATCTTAACTCCCTGCTGTCGTCCTACTTCAGCCCAGCTCTACCTCCATGCCTCCTGAGAACTCAGCAGCCCGCAAGGACAGAGGGGACTCAACGCACCAACTTTGTAGGGGAGGGGACAGGTCTGATAAAGCCTATAAGTCACAGGGATCACCTGGGGGGAGGGAGGGAGGGAGGGAAGTTGAGCCCTGGAGCCAAGTTCAGCTGCTTGGGTGAGTGCTGAAAATTGGAGAGAGAACGTCACAGTGAGAGACACAGATCTCTTTGCTTTCCTGGGATTGGGGATGGGTTGATGTAGAACTACCCAGGAATTAGATGCTCCTGGGTATTTAAGCAGATGCACGTTGAGAATGTTAAGCAGCCTGATGAGGCTGGTCATCAGCATGGATGCTGAGGCTACTGCCTGGAGGCCCTGTTGTCCCAGGGGTTAGCTGGGTGGTTGCTGGATTTGGGGGGAAAGGGCAGGGTCCTGGGCTGCAGCTCTGTATTATCTGGTGCAAAAGGACTTCTGTGTTTAATAGGTGGTCTGGTTGGGGTGGTGACTGCCAGATAGGTGAGTCATCACCTCCGTAGACTTGCAGCTGAGGGCACTGTCAGGTCCTCTCTTTCCAGATGTAAGCCAGACCATTGGCCTGAAAGAGTGACAGGTGTTTAATGGCTAAATGGAGTTCCCACTGCAGGCAGGCTGTGACTCTGGCAGAGCCGATCCCATCTCCAGGAAAGCAAAGGAATGTCCCAGCCTAGCAAGGTGGGGTGGAGCAGCAACTCACAGCAGGCGTGCGGGGGGCAGCCCCTGGGGGGGAGTGTGGGGGAGAGAGGGTCATCCTCACGAGCACGGGCATGTCTTCGTCGGACACGGAGCTGGCCGGCAGGTCTCGGGCGGCGGCGGGGGCGGCAGCGACGCTGTTGGCGAACCCCTGAGAGCTGTGCTTGGGCGGGAGAAGCTTGACAGGGACAGACACGGGCATGACCATAGGTGTGAGGCTTTCGGCCTCGGGAGGAAGCTGCGGCGGTGCAGGTGCGGGTGGAGGCGGAGGCGGAGGTGGAGGAGGTGGCAGTGGCGGCTGGGGCGGCTGGGGCTGAGGAGGCAGAGGCGGAGGCTGTGGCGCTGGCGGCGGGGCCTTCTCTCCTTCCTCCTACACAGACAATAAAGGCTTTGATCCTGGACTGGCAGCAGCTCTCCCAAGGGAGGGATGCACTTTGCTTTTTCCTGGGCTTGAGAGATGCCAGCTGGCAGCAGACAGGGCCATGCACTCTAAACAACCTTGACCATGGATCATGTGTATATTAAAATATCAGAGTTTGGGAGTGGCTGTCGCTGCTTTTAACGAAAAGGACATGGATTTGTAATTGACAAAAAAAAAAATCTTTTTTGTAGACCCCTCAGTTGATGCATCTGTCAAGTGGAAGTCGGCATTGCATCTTGGGTTTTATTTAGGTTAGGAAACCACATTGAAAACGCAGAAACATGTTACTTTAAAAAAGACAAAGGGGTTGAAGAGATGGAGTGATCTGAGTAGAAGAAAATGTTCCGAGCAGGAGAAAATCTTTGGTGAATAGAGTGAATCCCAAAGCTTTCAGTTAAGATAAAGAATGGTCTTTGAATTTTTCTCAAACTCTGCAACTCATGAGTAGCTTGCTACCTGGATAACACAGACGGTAGTTAAGGGTCTTTGGCTGCCAGAGCCAGACACCCACTGTACTGTTGGATGGAAAATTCTGGCCCAAAGCCTGATGCTTCCCTTAGCCCTCCATGGCCACAGGCTACTGATCTGGAAGCAGTCCTGGTCTTGGGTGCTTCAGGCAGCAGAAGGAAAATATTCCTGCGTCTACATGTTTTCCTCTGCTGTCTTCTCTGTGAGACAGAGGCACAGGGAACACTTATCTTTGTGCTTAAAGCCAGGGGGCGGCTTCACCTGGTTGGCTCCCAGCAGCAAAGCTTAGCTGCTCTGTCTGGGAGGAGTGTGGCTCTTCAGGTATGCCCATGGGGCTCACCTCACTGTCTCAGCAAAGCAAAGCAAGCAGCACACGGCCTGCAGGGAGGACCGGGGATGGGCGCCGACTCACCTGTTTGAGGCTGGGGGAGGCCCTCATCCCCCCGTGGGACCGCATGTGGCCATTCAGGGCAGGCAGGCTCTTGAACTCCTTTAGGCAGATGGGGCACAGCTTGTTCTTGGCATCAAACTGCTCCCCAAACACTCCTTTGGCTTGGCCACTGTTTACAAGGAGGGCCAAAGGGAGAAGATACACATGTTGGAAAAGAAGCAAGAAGTCACACCCACCACGAGCCCGTTGTATTCATCTACTGCTCTCTAATCCATTCCCTACTTATAGCATCCTAATACCCTTTGGAGAACAATGCCCACTTTACAGATGATGAAAACTGAGGCACTGAGGGGGGAAAGGACTTGTCGTCATACCTGAATGGGACAAAACATCCCCTTTATTCCAGGCCTACAGCTTTCTTTCCCTCTGATAGCTTAGTTCCATTTTGGGGCCAGCTACCACCAGCAGCCTTCCCTTGAGACAGGAACGCAGCCCCCCCAAGTTGCACATTTCAGAGGCTGACACTGCCGCCATGCCCATGAGGGGAGGAAGCAGGTCTGTACCATTCCCTGCTGTGAATAGTCTCTACGTGACACACAGTGGGCATAGGCACACCCAAACCCATTGCTATATATTTTTTTTGACATGTAGCCTTAAGCTACAGTTTAAGCCTTAGTTTTCTCAGTTGTGAAATGATCATAATAGCTTACAATGACGGAGTGGTCTCTATATAAGCATATGGCAATCACATCTAATCTCACTGGGTTCTTTTAGTACACATACTAAAGAGGGGTCTTCAAAAGGTCACGGGACAGATATATCACTAAGGTTCAAAAAAAAAAAAAAAAGCAACACCACATATGGATTCTGAAAGTTTTTGCACCCAAAGCAAACTTTTTTTGGGTAAGTTTAATTTTTAATATTTTGCTGATTTTGAGAGCAAGAGAAAGGAAGGGAAAGAGTGCTTCTACGTTCTGGTTCATTTCTTGAAAGCCCGCAAGGACTAGATCTTAGCCAGACTGAAGCCACAAGCCAGTAACTCAGTGGAAGTCTCCCATATGGGTGACTTGGAGGAACCCAATTCTGTGATTCACCCATCATCAGTTGTCCCCCAGGGTCTGCATTAACCAGAGGTTGGCATCAGCAGGAGCTGGGACCTGAACTGGGTACTCTCACGTGGGATATATGTGTATTACCTGGAGCCTAACTGCTGGGCTAAACAAAGCCCTATCCTGCTAAACTTCACTTTTCATTCCATCTCCCATGAACTTTAGGAAGTCCTTAGTCCTTAGCTTCACACAGTGAAGCACTCAAACCCAACAGTAATATTCACCTTGACCTCAGTGAGAAACTGTCCTTGAATTTAAAAACGAATCATGAGATACAGCCCAGGAACACCTCCCAATTTCCCCAAATACCAAAGCATTTCCACAGATCCTACCTTGACTCAGGGGATGCTGGTTGGGCTCGCCCGTCAGGGAGGTGCATCTAATTATGAGCCAAACAGGACACCGAAAGAGAGAAAGAGAAACAGATGTGTTTCTGAAGGCAGATACACCATGGTCCCCCTGGAGGGGCTCTTCCTGCCCTCCAGCTCCCTCTGACCCTGTTCTTGGCCAAACGCCTCTTTGCTCTCCTGCACCCAACTTCTTCTCTTTAGTTGTTCCCTAACCTGGGACCACAGTCCTGTTCCTGGAGATGCTGCCAGCCACATGCCTGGATGCACCCTCACCTCATTCCTTCTTGTCCCTCCCTCCCCAGGGACAGAAACAGGTTCCCTTCCCTTAGGGGACAGAGAACAGAGCTGGATGAGCCAGCATCAGGCCAGGAGAGCGCCTGCTGGAATTCTTCCTTTCTCATTCCCTCCTTCCCTTCTTTCCTTCTGGGGCCATGTCATGTCATCCTTATACTCAAAAAAGCACTCTGTGATCTCAGGGGTCTGAGCCCCAGAAAAGATAAGGTCAAGGGGAAGTTCATCTCTAACCTTCAACCCCCATCAGAATTCTGTCTACCCAAACCAGTTACTATTTGGAGTCACTTCCTCCTTAGTCCCTGTTGTCACGTAAGGGTAGCACTTGGGACAGGCCAAAGCATGAGTAGTGTCCAGCATATGGGAGCCTCTTTTGTGGGCAGACACTTTCAGAAACTAACCAATGGTTAGTAACCATGGCTGCATCTGGTCTGAAGACATATTCTGTTGGCCTAGACTCCCATAAACAAATCCTGAATGAATGCTGGCGAAGGGCATCTCTGCTCTGCTAGTCTCCCCTGCTTCCTTCTGTCCTGATTACATGAGACCAGGTTGCTTATTTACTTTCCCAATCTGGATCCCTGGGGCAATAACATTTCCCCCTCTGCAGCCATACGTTCATATGCCCTCCTGGAGATTCACAAAATGTAGGCATATATCTTTCACGTGAAGGAATCTCACGTTCATTTATCCAGAGACCCCACTGTTGCTTTAGCAACATCCTTAAAGACTTTTGTGGAATTGCTCAGCTAAGCCATAGACTTTGAGAAGTGTTGTCATAATAGTCCCAAAGGGGAACCCATTTTATGGGAATACCCTGATGCAGGTGATACACCCTCTACAGATTGGTTCCCCTGGCACTGGACTCAAAGTCTTGATCATTATATGAATCACCGAGGACATGCTATAAGACTTTGGTCATCTCCTTAACTGAGATGAAAGGCTCCACAGGCAAAGGACTGGATGAAAATTAATTTCCTCCTGCAAGTATCTGACTTAGCTCCTGGCACACATAGGTTAATGCTCGCAGGAAGGTAGGTGGGACTGGAGAGAGGATCGGACGCTGCATGACACCAGTTCTCACTGGCCCTGCAGGACCCTAAGCAAGGTGGGAAACTTGCACTATGAGAATACCTGGGGCCACACGGCACTGGGAGACGCTTGCTGATGCTGTGGCCCCAGGCTATTGAGGTGCATCCCGCTGGGGGACAGGAGCGGTCGGTGGGGGAGGGCACTGCTGACCCGAGGCAGGTCTGAGCTAGTTGAGTCTCCCATTCCTGTGTCAGGAGGGCCCAGATCCCCGTGAGAACTCAGCATGGCCTGTGCCTGCCTGTCGCTAGAAAACGTCTTCAGTTGACCGTCTTCCCGCTGCTGGTGCTGAGGCAGGTGGCTCTGCTGGTAGAGAGGGTGGCTGTAGGGCTGTTGGGACTCTTGGTAGTAGTACTGGGGCATGGAGCCCAGCTGAATCAGTTGGACAGCATGTGCCTGCTCCGGAGTGTACTGGTGAGGGTCCCTGTGATAAGAAGGAGGCTGCAGGTGCATCTGTTGCTGCTGCTGCTGCTGCTCTTGCAAGTGCGGCATCATGGGTTGGGGTTGATAATACTGAGGTATCTGCATGGAACCCTGCCGCGGCTGCAATTGTAGCTGCTGCTGTTGCTGCTGCGGCGGCTGTGGGGGGCGAATCTGTTGTTGTTGCTGTTGTTGCATTTCCTGCATGGAGAGCCGCTGCTGCCCAGCTTGCTGTGGCGGCTGTTGTGGGTAATACTGGTGCTGCTGCATCTGAGGCATGTGCTGGGACAACATCTGTGGGGCTTGCAACGCTTGTCCTCCCTGCCCTGGCAACTGAGCCAGTGGCTGCTGGTAGTCATAATACAGGTGCCCTGGGGGAGGGTGCTGCCCGACCTGAAGAGCTGGTTTGGACAGCCCACCTGTGAAACCAGGGTGAGGCTGCTGGGGCACCTGTGAATAGCGGGAAGAGATAGCCGGTGCTGGGGGCTCCATGGGCTTCTGAGAGAGCAGCTGGCGGAGGGCGCTGTCGGGGGCTCCATCCATTACTGCCGACTGGGTGTGCAGCACCTGGGCCATATTGTTGACCTGAATTCTCAGGTTTTGGTTGGCAAACACCTGGGTGAAAGAGTCCAGCTTGTGCAAGACACCGCTGGTGAGCTTCTGGGTGCGGATCTCGCTGGCCTGGGAGTAAGTATATTGGTAGCTTTCGGTGGGCTCGGCCTGGGCTGGTGCCCCCCACATCATATTTGAGTTGGCCAGGTTGCCACGTAGCTGGACATGGTTTCCAGGCCCCGTGTGACCACCCCATCCTCCCTGCCTTGAGGTATCCATTTGGCCCAGGTTTTTGGAGCCAACAGGTAAACCCAGGCCATCTCTCACATCTTGAGGGAAGTGGGGGGAGAGGGGCGAGGCCTGTGGGGCATCCATTCCGCTCCCTGGGACTGAATTCCCATAGTTGTGGTTCAGCCCGCTGGGGACGCCAAGCGGTGGCTGTTGGTAGAAAAGGTTCTCACCACCACCCTGGCCCACATGGTTGGTCTTGTACAGTTGTTGATCCCCCATGGCGTTGGCCTCGCTTGTGAATGTCCAGCCACAAAACCATATAAGAAGGTAAATGGAGCAAACCCAGAAGGCCTGAAACCCTGAGACGCTGCAAGGAAGTGTCCGCCCTACTCCACGGCTGTCATGTCTGGGAATGTGGCTGGAGCCAGGTGATCCTGTTGGCCAGTACCACTCATACGCACAGTGGGGTGTGGGTTTACATCTTCACCTGAGCTGGGGGACGGACCACACACCGCCGTGGTGAGGAGACACGGCTCACGCCTGCAAGACAAGGAGACAGGAGATGATCAACCTTCATGTCGTGGGATGGGTCATGACATCTATCATGACCAGTTACCGAGCTAACTATGCAACAGGAGATTTGATAAGAAATAGCCAGTGCCCTTCACTGCACTCACTTGACAGCCTTTCTACAAAGCTGAGCCTCACAGGAGACTTGAACTCTCTTTCAAGTCATTGTTCAAGCTCATTAACTCATTGATTTGTTAATGTGTTGTTTAGTTCATTGATTAACTCATCCGTTCTTCTGGGACCTTGCTAGTGAAAACCCAGCAACATGCTGGTACCCACAGGGATACAGGGATGCACTGATCAACCTGTCAGTTCTGCAGATAATTACTAGACACCTGCTTGGCAGAAGGCACAATGCTAAGACATGATAAGGTGGACATGTGACAAACCATATGCATCATTATATCACCAGACAGAAAGAGCAAAGATGAACAGATATGGCAATGGAGACATCAAAGAGCTTATTTTCAGAACAGAACTGGAAGTTTCAAAAAAAGAGGCACGAATTTTTGAAATTCATGCATTTTTAAAAATACACATGTCCCATGAGCTCTTTAAAGACCCCCCCAGCCATACATGTACAGATTTTGAAATATCTTTTCTTTTTTTTAGATTTTGAAATATCTTACACATCAAAATAAGCCCATCTTTTAATTCCAATTTTCCTTGAATTTTTTGAAGTACCATCAACTATACTGGTTTGCTTGCCAGATCAATATCTATGGGGAAAGTGAAAGGGGAATAAAATTTCAAGAACACTGTTAAACCAGAGTGTGTTCATGATTAAAAAAAAATCAAAACAAAACCAGACGATAGTGGGTATCAAATGGTGATGATGTTTACAGTCCACTGGATAAATTTAAAACAGTGATGCCATCGTTGGGCTTATGAATATCCATTTTTTTCTTATTTTTATTACAAAGTCAGATATACAGAGAGGAGGAGAGATAGAGAGGAAGTGGAGCTGCTGGTATTAGAACCGGCGACCATATGGGATCCTGGTGCATTCAACACGAGGCTCTTAGCTACTAGGCCACGCTGCCAGGCCCATAAATATCCATGTTTGTACCATATTGGAAATTGCATCTTCTGCAAATGTGTGATAAAAAAATGTGGATATAAACTTAAAAATGGGTGAAGGGGACAAAGGTTTGTTTGCTTGTTTTTTTGACCAAATTCTTTTTTTTTATTATTATTATTTTTGTTTATTGGAAAGGCAGATATACAGAGAGGAGAGACAGAGAAGAAGATCTTCCGTCTGATGATTCACTCCCCAAGTGAGCGCAACGGCTGATACTATGCCGATCTGAAGCCAGGAGCCTCTTCTGGGTCTCCCACACAGGTGCAGGGTCCCAAGGCTTTGGGCCGTCCTCGACTGCTTTCCCAGGCCACAGGCAGGGAGCTGGAAGGGAAGCGGGGCTGCTGGGATTAGAACCGGCGCCCATATGGGATCCCGGGCGTGCAAGGCGAGGACCTTAACCACTGCGCCACCACGCCGGGCCCGACCAAATTCTTTTAGGGAAGATTTCAAGCAGAAAATCCTAGTGACCCTGGCAGGCAGCGTTCTCCCTCTGAGCTGGTCTCAGCGGCTTTCTGAACCACAAGAGGAAGAGATGGAAAAGTTCCGCTGGAAACGGAGCATGGCAGATGATGGCGAGCAGAAGTGGGGAGCAAGGGATGGCAGAGACGACTGAATTTTGAAGTGATGCTTATGAAGAATGAGTCCTGGGTCATGCGTGGTAGCCTAGCAGCTAGAGTCCTTGCCTTGCATGTGTCGCTACCCCATGTGGACACTGTTTCTAATCCTGGCAGCGTCTTCCCATGCAGCTCCCTGCTTGTGGCCTAGAAAAGCAGTCAAGGATGGTCCAAAGCTTTGGGACCCTACACCCATGTGGCTCCTGGCTTCAGATCTGCTCAGTTCTAGCCATTGTGACCACTTGGGGAGTGAGTCAGCAAATGGAAGATCTCCCTCTCTATCTCTTTTCTCTGTATATATGATTTTCCAATAAAAATAAATAAATCTTAAAAAAAAAAAAAAGAATGAGTCCTTCCCTCACAGGGCCCCTGAGCAGCACGGGGAAGGTTCTGAGCTTCAAAAACAAGGACATGAATGTCCCTGGATGCTCATGACGGGGTCTCTGCCATCCGGAAGCTGGTTAGAAATGTAGATTCTCAGGTCCAGCTAAGATCCATTGAGTCAGAAGCTGCATGGTGTCGAGACATGTCTCCAAGTGCATCAGATACACGTGCGTACTTAGTAGGCATGGGCTGCACCCAGGTGGACCTAAGCAAGAGCTGATATCTCAGTAGGGAGAGGAGAAGGCACACCCTACACAGCTCACCAGAACCGACTCTCCTTCCTTCAAAGACTCCACTCCTCCAGGGGTTTATGACCTAAGCGGATGCTGCCTCCTTTCTTCACACATCCTCTGTCCTGACAGCCTCAGCCACCACTCATTCTTTGCTGAATGCCAGTGTCTGTCCCCAGCCCAGATGGCCTGAGCTCCCAATCAGCTGCTCTCTTCATGTTAACACTGCCATCATCAAAGGCATCCACAAACTGGGTGCTGTTTCCAATTCATTTCTTCAACTCTGCCATACTCTTTTCTACCCCAGGACCTTTGCCTGTGCCACGCTAAGTTAGAGGACTCTTTTTCTCCCTGCCTCCTATTCATTTAACTAAGGGCTAATTGCCTTTTGGATCTCAGCTCAGACTACACGGTCTCGGCAGGTCCACCTTGACTGACCCTCAGGTCAGTGTCAGATTCCTTTATACTTTTTTTTTTTAAAGATTTATTTATTTTTATTGGAAAGTCATATATACAGGGAAGAGGAGAGACAGAGAGGAAGAACTTCCAGCCGATGATTCACTCCCCAAGTGGCTGCAATGGCCAGAGCTGAGGCAATTCAAAGCCAGGAGCCAGGAACTTCTTCCGAGTCTCCCATGCGGGAGCAGGCTCTGAGCCGTCCTCAACTGCTTTCCCAAGCCACAGGCAGGGAGCTGGATGGGAAGCAGGGCTGCTGGGATTAGAACCGGCGCCCATATGGGATCCTGGGCGTGTAAGGCAAAGACCTTAACCACTACGCTATTGCACCGGGCCCTCCTGTACATGTTTTAATGAGGCCGTATTCCTCCCTTTTGGACCGTTCTTCTGACCCTGTCATTGTACTTTCACCAAGGCACTTGCCTGATCATTAGATTTTATCTATTGAAACAGGAGTCAGATGTGGTGCTACTTCTAATTCTATTCCCATAATAACAGGAATTATAATGCCCAACACAGTGTAGCCTTCTCCCCCAATGTTTTGTTACACAAAGGACATTATCTGTAGAATGAATAAGTCAATGAGTAAAGAAACCATTAGATAGCAACACCTCAGTCTCTCTTGAGCAGAGACAGGCAGGAAAAGAGACACAGTGGACAGCGCGGGCAGGATCTTAGTTCTTACAGAGGGATAGTCAGACCTCACCTTGGTCCTCAGGGATGGGAACTGCAAGTGGAGAGCAGCAGGAATGGAATTCCAGGGGTCCGCCCTGGGGCACGGTGCTGATGTCAGGAACTGGGTGGTGAAGGCAGGGATAAATTGTGGCGAGCTTTACAATGATGCCCTATAGAGTTATCCTGTGGGAGTGAGCCTGCTAATTTCAGAACTCTCTTCTACTCAACCTTCCTCCAAAGCCTTATGCAGAGTCATCCTTCCCTCCAGCTCCTGAATAATTACTGTTGAACTTGCAAACTCTGGACGCTGTGTGATCTCAGCCCCTCCCCCTCTCCTCCATGGCCCTGTGGCTGGAAGCAGGGAAGCCAGATCACTTCACTTTCGCTGTTTTCACTGTTTAAGTCTTCCCAAATGGCGACTTTGCCTTCTCAGCTGGACTAACCTGTTCTTTATTCATTGCTGTTTCCTGGACTGGGGTGTGGTTTAATTACAAGCACAGCACCCCCAGACAGAACCCTTGATGGAATGATTCCCAAAGTAGGGTTCCTGGGTTAACAAAATCAACATCATCTGGGAACTTGCTACAAATACTAATTCTTGAGTTCTACCCAGAGCCTGGGTTGGAGCTCTGAATTTGGGGTTTTAAAGAGTCTTCCGGGCCCAGTGCAATGGTTAAATTCTCACCTTGCAAGCACCAGGATCCCATATGGCTACTGGTTTGTGTCCCAGTGGAGCCTGGTTTGTACCAGATGATCAAGACTCACTTGTTCACTGCCAGTCTGGGAGAAGAACTTCCCTGAAGCACGTGCTATCTATTTTAAACTGCCTTTATATATTTCTTGGGTAGGTTACTACAGTCATGCTTCAAAATTCCAAAGTTTCAAAAGGATGCAAAAAATATTACACACAAATGCTTGAAAATAAAGTGACAAACTACAGTAAAATGACAAACACAGAATCCAGGTCCGGCACAATACCCTAGCAGCTAAAGTCCTCATCTTTCATATGCTGGGATCCCACATGCGCGCTGGTTCTAATCCCAGCAGCCCCATTTCCCATCCAGCTCCCTCCTTGTGGCCTGGGAAAGCAGTTGAGGACGGCCCAAAGCCTGCTCCCGTGTGGGAGACCTGGAAGAGGCTCCTGGCTTCAGATCGGCTCAGCTCCAGCTGTTGCAGCCACTTGGGGAGTGAATCATTGGCTGGAAGATCTTCCTCTCGTCTCTCCTCCTCTCTGTATATCTGATTTTCCAATAAAAATAAAATAAATGTTTAAAGAAAAGAAAGAAAGAAAAACACAGAATCTATGAAAAGCTTTCCTCCCACCTAGGAGCCCCCAGCCACCCAGCATCCCTCCTGAGATAACCTGCATGAGCAAATCCACCTGGAGACACCTGGTCATGTCAGCAAACTCCTTGGCATACTTCTCTACACAACAGCAGGGTGAGGCTGAGGCTGCAGCACCTTGCCAATAGTCTTGTTTAGACTGAAAATCTAGAAACTGCTTTTCTTGGTGGGTTAGGCAATCGTATA